GAAGTTTTGGCTCAATGTTGGTGCAAATTCCTCACATAGTGGCAATATGTAGCAGAATGTAGCAGGGTATGTGCCTCGGTGCAGTTTGGCACAAATGCCACACCAATCACATCCCTGCATCAGTGCCAGTGGACAAAGGTTAGCAGGATTGATGTAAGTGTGCTATGACCATTGATGGAGGGTACCAATTTAAATCTCTAGATAATAAAGAGAGGTAAGTTGGCACCGTACAAGGTTTCTTCATGTGACATAAAAAGTAGCATTTTCTGGACTTCACTGCTCCTAAAAACAACATGCTTTGTGACAAACGTTTAATCAATTCCTGTCGACCTCCCGCTGTATAAACATACAAGGTCTAATTTGCTTCACTTTTAGTTGGTCATGATCACGATCTAGCTATCCGAAAATCCAATTTAGTGCATAACAGCTTAATAATAGGAATATGCTGGGATCCCTAATGCACAGGTATGTTAACTGCAAGTAGGACAACCAAGGAATCCCAACATTTTACACAAAAAAAGGCGACAATTTAAAACAAAGCAATCCCGACCAAGATGCTAACGAAATGAAATCCATTTGCGAGCAAATTGCTACAAAACAGTGTACAGGAGAAAAAAAAAAAAAAAAAAAGGCTCATGGTTCACCTAAGCATGTTTTCGAGTTGTGAATGCGAAAGCATGAACGCCGTTCTCGCGCGAGTTCTCGTCAGGTAGCCACGCCGCACTCTGGAGTATGCTTGAGCGGGCTCTCTCTGGAAAGCCCCACCAGCCAAACGCTTCCTTTTCCTGGCGCACTCTGGCGAGGGCACGTAGCGCCATAGGGCGGCTCTCCTTGAAACTGACGCGCCTCGGCCAATGGGAGCCTCGTCCCTTGAAACTATGAGGCGCGCCAGCCAACGAGAGCCCTATACATCATATTTCGGCTTCACTTTGGGAAATTTATTTGCAGTTTGGCTCAGCTTTTTGTGCGGCTTCAAAGCTGGGAGCCTTCAGAAGCCGGCTTCAAATCACTCCATTGGGAGAGGGGAGTTTAGCTGCCGTTTGGTGCGGCTGATGACGTCCGCTCGCTCCATGGGACAGCTAATGCTTTCGCATTAAAAGAATGACGTGTGCCTTTTAAGTTTTAATGGTGTGCTTCGAAATTTCACTAAAACAGACTACACTGCCTTTGGTCTGTTCGTAAAATCAGTATGAAACAATGCGGCGGAGGGCGGAGCCGGAAACCTCGATTGAATTGTGATGGCCAACCCCACTGGAATCCCAGATTAGCCAGACAAAAACGAAAATTCTTTCAAAGGTCAATTTGTTAGCAGATAAAATGCTTTGGCGCAGTTTGCCACATTTTTTTGTCCTTTGGGCACAGCAAGGAAAGGGCAAAGAGGAATTTGTCAAAAGAGCCCAAGTGGTGCAACTAGATCAACCCTGCCTATCTATATATACCGCTAAGAGCTCAACAATGCCATCCTTTCTACCTAGAGGGTCGGATCCCATGAACAAAGCTCTTGTAGACATCCTTGTAGAAAAAATATAGAAAAGGGCTGATGATTAAGGTGGCTGTGGACCTCTCAAAGAAACATTCTCCGACATTCTCTGCCTCACTGTTTTCAAACAAGTGCAAGAAATTAGCCACCTCCAAACTAGAATGAACTATGTCACCATTTCACAAAATTTAATGAAAAGAGGGCCCTGAAACCGAAAACTGCAGAAAATAAAAGTACCAGCAGTCGAAAACTACACTGGAAGTTTAATTTCTGTCGATAAGTGCTTGTCTTCCGCTGAGTGACTTCATAATGCAATAATGCCTAGTACATGTACGCCTTCTGAAACTAATCTCTGTTCTTTCTACTACATTTCAATGTATATCAATGTATGAACTCGTTTATCAAATGTATGAACTCACAGAACTTTAATATGCAGTAGCAGAATGTTGCAAGGGAAAGACAAATAAGCAAAAGTAGCCCAGACCTGGCTTATGTTGAACTTCACGTGCTAAACTCTAGTACCTTGTAATCTACACAGTAGACAGAGTGGGCAGAGGAACAGTGTGTTACTAAACCTGCCTCTCTGATCATTACATTTCATTCCAGATGTCTCTTGAGCAACACAAACCACAATTTAAAAGTCTGTAATTGAATTTTTCTTTTGTTTTCACTCTACTACCCGCTGCATCAATTTATAAAAGGCATAATTTCTTTTTCTTCAGCAATTTCGTTTTGAGAGTAACCAGATTACAAGAGTCGCACCTCAACACACCAAGAAACACAATTTAATCACCTGCTATACATTGTATACTGGCAGTTGGAAGACTATGGATAAGCCAATCGTTGAAAAGCAGTAGCTTACCAAACCAAATACAACAAGTAAACAGAGATTGCGTTAAAATTCACAAGAAAGGTTTCCAAAGAATAACTCTACACATTAAAATCCACAAAAAAGGTTTCTCAAAAATTAGACTACAAACAGATAAATAGTAGACAGGAACAGTCTTGCGACTTATCTGGGTGACCAGATGTCCTGTTTTGGCCGGGACAGTCCCGTTTTAAAGCTTCATTTCTACCGTCCCGTTATTGCCTGAATATTGCCAAATGTCCCATTTTCGTGGGAACTTGCTTGCGAAATAAGTCAGTACCAGGCAAGTGGAAGAAAACAAAAAATTATTTACTCGTGACAGTGTGTTACGATAAGCATAGGTAGTGCAAAAATGTTATCTCCAAAGGGGTGCAATTTTTAGCTTTTTCAGTGACTCCATCTGCCACTAAAGTTTGTTCCTTCAGATGTGTGTATGGGGCACTTTCCTACATACTATATTTGGCATGCTTAGGCTTTGCGAAATGGGCAACTAAGGTGCTGGTGTACTCAACGAAAAGCCCCAGAAAAGTGTGCATTTTCACGGTAAACTAAATAACAACAGCTTCTTTTTTTTCTTTTTCTGTCTTGTTTTGCTTTTTTTTTTTTCTCCTCCCTCCCCTTTCCCTTTTTCTCCTTCTACCCTTCTCTTTGATGTCCCGTTATCAACTCTGAGGACCACCCTACCACAACACCATATCTCTGAGAGCATTCAAAACCATTCCAATTATTTTAGCCTTTGCAAAAGATGTTCAAAAACTTTTGGTTTTTAGTTGCCGAACTGAGGGACCATGTGCCAGAACTGAACTAAAGAACCAAGAGTTTGGCTGGTTTAAAACACAAAACCACTAAGCACAGGGGTGCTATGCTCCCCCTGCCTTGTTCTCACCCATTCAGTTACCTCATTACTCCAAATGACGGCGAATCATTCCTAGAAATTAAGAAGTTTGACAAAACCGCCACAACTCCCGGAGCATGGGTTCCAGGAACTTTTGGCCTATAGTAGCGGAACCGAGGGACCATGTGCAACAAGTGGAGGACCAGGAGTTTGGTTGGTTTGAAACACAAAACTATTTTGCACAGGATGCTATTCTTCCCATGCCTTGACAACTTCCAGAACATGGGGGTCCCATATGATGCATCGATTTGAAGCAGTTAGTAAGGTAGGTTTATTCCTCATCACAGGATGCAGCAAGACCCAGTTTAAACTGCAGCTGCTTAGTATGCAATATCAAATTTCAGTTTCCCCACTTAATTCACTTCTTTCCCAATAAGAGGCGCCACCTCGGTGCGCGCGACTGGATTTGATATTGAGTGGCTAGAAAACAATGTGCCCGCAAGCTTCTCTAATCCGTTGGACCGTGCTATGTGGGTACATTTATAATTGGAAATGTCACTTCATTGAGGTGACATTTTTTCATTGAGGTGCTGTGACCTCGATGAGGACTATCTTACAGACTGAAGTTGATACAATGAAGCAATTTTCTGCTCTGCCAGTATAAAGTGGGGGAGTGGACCAAATCCATTTAAAACCCATATTTCTGAAAAAGGTCCATTACCGGTTGACTTTTACTTCAGATTAAATATTAACTTGGAGCTTTCAATGTAGTCTGAGGCAGAGTAATCTTATATTTAGCAGCTAAGAATATAAAGGCATTTCAACACCACAACATTCCTGCCCCAAGCTCAAATTGTTTCATGTGTTTTCAGCAAGTTGTCTAAGCATGCTGAATTAAAAGGAAGAAAAAAAAAATCGTGTTTTTACATAACGTAACCGATCGAGGCACTCCGAAGTACAGTTTAGGACATTGTAACGTGAAACCACACACAACTTCCATAGTACTACAAACACCTACTTCAAAACAACAACAACAAAAAAACGATTTCGTGCAGGGACTCTAAAAATCCGAAGCACTATCACGAAACGAAGCGACAGTTGGTTCTACCGGGACCGAGCTCAGCGATATCGGTTTCTGCGCTCAAGTTGACGAGCCGAACGTCAAAGGCACAAGTTCACCGACATAATCCACACACCAACAAAAACTTGCGCCGAATATACTCTACTTAAAAAGAAAGAAAACGATTTGCCGGCTAAATTACATTGCAACGCGACGACCTCTAAAATGGAGAATAAAAAAGTCGGTATAAATCTAGGCCACTAGTCGGAAATTCCGGTCATTGTTTGCAAGCGAGCTATGCGGCGATCCACAGGTCGGATTACCGCCGATTCCGGACCTCGACCGATCGAGTAAACCACTTTGTGGCTCGTTCACCCGCGGCGCAAAAACCTACTCGCGAAGAAAGCCTTTTTAATTTCGATAGGTCAGTGCACTGACTGGTACGGCGGCAAGCGCCGAAATCACGGCAAACCCTTTAAACAGGTTTCCCACGAATGCGTAATAATCGTGAGCGTGACTCACTTCAGGCCCGCTGGGTGTACCGGGTACCGAAGTAACGGGCACGACTTGGGCACACCTGACCAGGTCCCATCGCCACGACCTAACCGAATCTTTTGTGTTAGGTCGAGACTACGACGTTAAACACGACCATTTCATTCCCAGTAAGCGCGGGACACGTCCAGCACAACGCCCGAGCGATGTGTAGACTTCTCCTTTCTGGGATGACGAGAAGTGTTCAGGTACGCAGGACACTCACCCAGCTAGAAATGACGGCCCAGCGAAGAATACATGTCGAACTGGTTCATTTCAGTTTGACACAACAGTATGTGTGCACGGCAAAATGGCGGATCGCTAGTTCTCCTTTTTGCTTTTGTGCAAGTAAGTGAATCGATGTGCGAGTGAAACACTGCGCCTAGGTTAGAGGTCACTCTGGGGTGTGTTCCGGGAGAAACGAGAGACGTTTGGAAGCGGGTACTTACAAGAATGGACACGCGCACGCACTCATACACACACAATTTGTAGAAATCGCGAGGCGAGACGGACTTTCACAACCACTGCTCAAAATTTTACAATTTTACTTCCTACCTTCTTTTATCAGCCTGGCGGTCTAAGATTGAACCACTGAAGACAAGAAACATATTTTATTAATTAAAGAGAATTTAATATAATTGTAAATATATTTATTTTATAAAACTAATTCATTAAAAATAAACAAAAGTAAAACAAGAATTATCAAAAGTGAACGTTCACAACAAACGCGAAACAAATTTAATATATAATAAAGCGTTAAAACTAAAAAAAAAGGGAGTATATTTTTTTAAACGCCTAAGTTATAAATGATATTTTCTAAGCAACTAAATAAAAACTGATATAAAAAGTTTCGGTTTCGTTTCTGACGCGTTAGGTACGCTTAGTAACCAGGGGAACCAGATAGTGGTGGTCAGTCCTAAAGCCCCTTCATGATTTAAAAGTAGCGGCACAACGTGCGTCGATGCAAGAGGCACGTGCAACGTGCCGCCCTTGGGAAGATCATGGCCAACGTTACTGGAACAAGCTCAGTTCCACACAAGGTTAGCGCCGACCCTCGCGCCTTCCTCGAGGAAGTGGAGGGGCCCTTAAGTTTGAGTGTAGTTCGAGTGAGGTTTCTGAATTCGGCGGTTAGTCATTCTTCACCCCGCCCCTTTCCCTCCCCCAGTCAATAAAAAGAAAAACAAAGCCGGCCCGTTTTTTTAGTTGTCTTGTTACCAGAGTTAAATAAAAACAGAAAGAATAAACATAGGGACGGACAGAACAGCACCCATGTTTATTCTTTGTTTTTATTTAACTTCACCAAAGCGCTCACGTCGAACTAAGTTACCAGACTCCAATGAAATGCACTGCGCGCTCCGTGACCCTGCGCTTTTGGCCTGTATGTCTGCTAGGTTTTGACAGAACGCTAGCGACGCAATCATAAAATAGTAATAAAATTAGGATGTACAACAGGACCACTTCCTTGGGTTTCCTAACATGTATCGTGCAAAAAAAAGGTCTGCCCCATATTTCTAATTTTTTTTTTATGTGAATGCAATGGAGAATAAATATAATGACCAGCCACCTCACCCCTGCCCCCCCCCCCCCTCTCAAAAAAAAAAACAACAAACAAACAAAAAAAAAATTATCTCTATGCACCTGCCTTGAGCATCAACAAGTAAAGCTTTTATGTGACTAGGCCCAAAGGTCACCCACATGCAAGCTTTTGGATATCGACATCTTTTTTGTTCAAAACAACTCTATTGTCAAATTGTCCATTAAAACCATAAGTAAAATGACTTCAAACTATTTCACTACTTCAATAAAATTGTATTGAAAGTTTTTATATATTTCTATGCCAGTCAAATTGAGTACCGTCCACACCTTTTGATCAAAAGATGTTTCAGTGAATGTGCGCATTTCTTTCAAAAGGAAAGAACTTTATAAAACTCTAGTTCGACCGAAGTTAGAATATGCAGCCTCTGTCTGGGATCCCGGACAAGCCACTCTCATCACTGCGTTAGAAGGCATTAAAAACAGATCCGCTCGTTTTATTCTTTCTAATTATCATTATACACCTAGCATAACTTCTACGAAATCTACTTTGTCACTCCCGCCCCTCTTCCTGCGACCAAAGCTTTCACGCCTCTCTTTATTTCACAAAATTAATTTTTATAACTCTGTGCTTCGCGACAAATTAATCACTCGTCCCTTTTATATTTCTGCTCGTCATGATCATCAGCACAAAGTTGAGGTACCTATCACTATCACAACTACATTCCGTTCTTCTTTTCTTCCTCGCACATCCCTCGACTGGAACCACCTTCCCGGACCAATTGCATCCATAACTGACACTTTACTTTTTAGGTTTGCTCTTACCAATCTTTTTTTTGTTGAGTGTGAATAACCATACATTACAGCGTTTTGATCCCAACTTTGCTCTCCTCCTCTGTTATGCCTTCGGGCCCCGAGGGTAAAGCAAATAAATAAATAAATAAACTGCTACCAAGGTGGGATGCATATTGCACAATGCAGTCTTATATTCATTCGTTGTTGTGCTCAAGCTGGTTGACCATTTACCCTTGGTAGTGCAAACAGAAGGTGGCGATCTTGTCGAGCAGCAGCAGTAGTGCTAGCCTTCCAGCAGGTTCCTATGCCACGTAAACAAAACTTGAGCTTTTCATTCTCATAACATTTGTTTCGTTAAATGTTACTGAAGGAAACAATTGTTCAACGAAGCGACCAGCACTCGCTTAAAGATTGGGCTAACATGCACTTGTCATGGGGGTGAAAGTGACACCCTGTCCGTGACTTCATAGGATTATCTTTGTTGTATTTTCATATGCCCCAAAACATTCAGAAGGTCTTCTCTTAGGTACAAAAATTAAAAACTTAATTAAATACACATAGAAGCAGGATCAAACTTCAAGAGTAGAAGTAATAAACACCACACACACCAACATAAATTAAAAAAGGGCAACAATCTCTGCAGACTGCCTCTAGAACAAAATGTCGCTGAAGAAGGGCCTCGAGGGCGGTTTCCGTATAAAGTTATCCCCGTCTTTCCAACAATATATTTGTGGTGTGATGCAAGACCAATAGGTGGGGTACGTAACATGGTTTAAGATTGAAGTCGTGCAATCTTTCCAAATATTTTGGAACACACAGCAGGTGTGTTCCAAAATGGTTTAGCAAACCAGCAGTAGGCACTGGTTGACATCATTTTAATAAATGGTAATTTCTCTCCCTCTGGGCTGTCTCACCATCTTTGGACACAGCTTTCCAATCAGGAACCCAGCTCGTTCACCTGTTAACCCATATTTCTTTGTAGGTAAGAATCCACAACTAGGTATTTAAGAAGCCAGAAAATGCTTTTATTTTGCTATTTGTACTGCTTCCCAATACAGATCTTCAAAATTAATACTACCACAAGTGCCCAGCATTCCTTTGAATCTCATATGCATACTAATAAATACAAAATGTAAAACTGTGTATAAACTCCGATATTTACACATGCGCACAATTGAAAAACTGTTTTTGTAAGTGTGTGGGATCCATACCGAACCACCTCAATGCACAAAATCCAACATTAGCTAGACAATCCGTAAAACTTGCTTTGCCAGAACCGAAAACATGTTGCAATAACCATTTCCTAACCCAAACTGTACTTCCAACACAAAAGCTGAATATTTCTACAATGCTCACAGACAAAATGCAAAGAAAGGCTATCCAGAACTCACCTCCTAATGCAACAGCCATGTGGAATAGAAGACAAGTTTCCATAAGCTTCGGTAAAAAATGGCATAGTGAATGGTGCTAGTGGCTGAAGATGGTCACAACTGGTACCTTCTCATACTGTCATGAATTGTCAAGTCTTTGAGCCAGGTCACACCAGTTTCCCTCCTGAATATCCTCGAAAACTGTTTTCTGCTCACCACTTCAGCAAATGGTGCACTATGCAAACAGCTGTGACCCACCCTCTGTTGAAAGTTCCACGAGGATTACAAGAAGTATGTCAATTTCCACGGTTCAACCAGTAACACTACGGTCAAATGAACTGAAGAACCTGAAATCAATACCAAATACCAGGAGACGTCATAGCATGGCCACTTCACTTGCATAGGATACATGACACAACATCTGTCTTGCCTCTTAAATTTGTTTTAAGTATATAGCAGCAAAAGAAAACAGAACTATCCAGTGGGTATTAATATAAGTTTTGATAGTTGCAAAACTGTGGTTGGCAGAGCCATGCTTGCAAACCATCGAACCCTGCTCTCTTGTACCACCCCAAAGAGGAGGTGGCACAGCCATGGGCGTACCATTAGACATGCCGATGCCCGTGATGCGAAACATTAGTAACTTTCACCCGATGCCAGCCCTAGCAGACATTCCCAGGAGCAAGAAATCTATTTGAAAGAGATGCCCCAAACAAGCGAGACAACCCTCGCTAAAATCCTAAAGGCTTTCCTTCAAAAATCCCCAGGCCCCTGCACACCTATAAGGAATCACTTCTTTTGTTTTCTGACATTGGAAAATATGAAGTTTACTCAAACCTACAGAAAGAATTATTCTAAACAAACTACTACATCATTTATTACCCATGTCACATGGGGAATTAAAATATGCTATTGCATTGTCAACCGAAACCAGTCATCATAAAGAAATTTACCTCGTATTCCAAGGCCTGTGCATTTCTCGTGGCATGTGCTGCCATGTGGCTCAAACAATGTTTTGCATGAGAGTTCCTTATGAAGTCTGGACATCAACATTATGGCGAGATTCAAACAAAGAAATGTGTCACCAATCAGAAATGGCTACGAGGCTCCCACATAAAATATTCATCTCGTTTGGCATGAGCTGCTAAACTGAAGAGGTTGTCTTAGCATACTGTGTTTAGCAGACCTCCAGTACAATGTGTAAGTATAGTTCTTGTCCTGCAATGCACAGTAATTATGAAAGACAAGCTTTTTATGGAAACTGCCAACTGCGCGCGGCAGCCGTGGCGGGTAGTGAGCACGGCTTGAGTGAACTGCACATGTAGTTTAGAGCATTTGCAATCGGTTGCCACTGTGAGCCACCCTCAAAGGACTAGTTTCAACCTCCCAAATGAAGTAAAGGCTACGAGAACGGGAAATCGCCTTCCGCTGTCCTAAGCAAACGAGTCACCATCACATTCAGCTCCAGAAGCCCAAATAGAAAAAAAAAGGTGACCAAAGTCGTCAATGATTCACACGTGCATGCACGGCGGCATCGGCAAATCGTTTGGAACCAAACCGTTTATGCCAACATGGTTCGGTCCCTGATATCGCCCTAGTTTTCCTTTCGCATACCAGCGATGCGGCCAAAGTCACGCATAGCCCCGTAGCACAATAGATGAAGAAATTCAATCTTTGAGCTCGGAAAGGGTTGCACATCCCTGTACCGTTCGATTACCTATAAAAGAATATTTTGAAACATTCCGTGTTCTGACATCTCACCGACAAAGCAGGTGGCAGTTCATATCCGGTCGGAGATAAACCCGGCACCACGCGCACTTTCACCACGGCCGGTGGGTGATGGTGAGCTGCCAGTCCGAACCGAAGGTGAAACGTGATGGCACTGGGCAAATTTCGAGCACGGTCCTTCAATACTCTCGCCAGTTAAATTACGCCGACGTCGTTTAAACCTATTAGAAATCCTACGTTCAAAAGCAACATTTCGGGCTCCCAACGTAGTCCGGTAGCGTGGCATACACTTCTGTCCATCTCATCGGCAGCTTGCAAAACTAAGCCTTGAGGGCGTACGAGTGGTACACGAGTCCGACGACGCTCGTGGCGAACGATACGGCACACAGCCACCACGTCATGAAGCTGAGCACCCCCTTGAAGAGCACTGGCGTGAAGACGCTGCGCAGCCCTGCCAGCGTCAGCGAGAATTGCTGACTCGTCGACAGGATGGACTCTGCCGAGCTCTCCGCCGACCGTGCTGCCGGCATTGGTGCGACGAAGGTGGCCCTACCCTGTTCTCCACTAGGCCAGAAGTACGACGTCCAACTGTGGTTGCCTGCAAGGGAAGAGGTTCCAAAATGCATGCCGCACTTTTGGACGTCGGTCGATACGAAAACGTTCATCGCTTCCATGCTCTACGCTCCGAAGAAAGCCTATTCAAGCACTTTCCGGCGAAGCAGACGAAAGATCCAGCCATTACGTGCTCGGTTTCCAGTACGGGTTACCGTTTTTGGCGTAAAAATTGCGCCTGCATTGTAATTCGCTGTGCTCGTTTGTTAGATGTAAAATTTTGCACTTAAAGGGAATGTCCGGTCGAAACCAGAAGTACTTAAGTTCTTGCGCTCGTTACGTCGAGGGAGCCTTCATATAGACAAACATCATTTTTATTTTGATATGTGATCTTCCATTCTTAATTAAACCTTTCATGAGCCTATGTACGAAACTGCACCCCGAATTTCGCCAGTGTCAATGGCTGACATCCGTAGGTGCTGCGCGACGTCACAAAACGCAAAGGTTCGTCGGATGGCCGGGATAACAAGCGTTGGTGGATGGATTTCTTGTATTTTGTTTTGAATTATATAGTCTCCTAGGCAGTACCCTACTGGAATACGGCTCTTTTAATGCAGTTCCCAAGCACGTGCAAAAAAAAAGTCACGCCTTTTAGCAGGATATTACTCGCAGACAGCCATAAGCTTCGAGCAAACGTATGCCGTTTTGCACAAACACAACTGCGACGGACGCCGATCAAACTAGGGGCGCTTGCAAAGCAAAGGATGCAGATTTCGCCTCTGAAGCGGCACCTAGGTACACGAAGCGGCATCTGGGTACACATTTCGGCGGATCCACTGGATCGGTGATGAGGCTGCGGGTCGTTCCCTCGGAGGCGATGTTAGCGGGTCGAAGGCAAACGGCGAACCGTTCATATGCATTTGTCACTTGACCTTGACGAGCTTGGTGAATCGTAGTCACGCTCCATTTTCACACGCGGGTCAAACAGATATCGGGCTGCACGTGTCCTAAATACAACTTCTGGTATCATTTCGAGATGGCCTAGCTGTTGGTTTCGGTTTTTCTGCATAATCAAGGTCTGTTTGATTCGGCCAGGAAGTTTTCTGAACTATATATAGTTGGTTAAAAGCCAAGAAGGTAGCGGCAAATGCCCCTCAAAAGGAATCTTTGTATTTCGACGATAGGTTCGCGGCATCGGGATGATTTTACGTCGGGAGTCACTGGCGGCAGCGCGCGGTCGGTATACCGGTCACCTCGAAGACGAAGGCCTGACGATAGCGTCTTGGCCAAGACAGTTATCGACCGTAACTTTGGCGTCAAGTTGAAGCGAGAATCGGCAAAAATGCCGATTCTCCACGTTGTTCCTAGGCCCGTTAGTGGTCGTCCACAGATACCAGCGGACAAAGCATGCAGTATAATGCTCAGCTACGGGGACATGCGAGTGCCAACGCACTAAATCCCAGACCTCTGCAATGTATCGGAGTCGTCAATATGCTTCCAAGAGTAAACTGAAGGCGGGGACTATCAAGAGGGCAATACCTTTCCCGTGTCCGTAAGTAAGAATATCAACACTGTGGAGACCCACAGAGCATCAAAAAGAAACAATTTATGTGAGCCAATATTTCAACACTCACCACAGGGACCAAACCTACGCGAGCAGGCGCCTAAAACGCTTTCAGAATATCATAATCAAGCAAATTCCTACCATCGGTTATGATCTCAATTCCGCGTCCAACGCGGTACGTTATTATCATAAATGAGAGAAAATGCAACCTCTGTATCGGCGTTATTATTAAACATTGCAGACATTTGAGCAAGAGCTGCGAAAAATGGCACCGCGAGCAGAGACGGACGAGGAGCGTCGTCTGCTATTGCCGTCTGCTCTTGCCGTCTGCTTCTGCACGGACGCCGAACTGAGTCCGAAGCCGGTGCAAGATTTTTGAGGAACTGGGTCTTAATTCGTTCAGAACTGGGATGAATCGAACGCGCTAGTGAGCGGTCGTGCAACTTCCGGTTGAATCGAATGCACCAGTTCCTGCACTGCTGAACTAATTCAGTCAGTTCAGGCGAATCGAACAGAGCTAAATTGACTGATCCAATTTGGGTGAGGAGTGGGTGCACGTAGTTTAATATCGTTGGCACAGCATCATACCTCAGCTTACAAGCCTTTTGTCCGCTTAGAGCTCAGCTCGTAGCTTTCTTCTGTGAGATGATTGCTGCATAAGCGGGATCTCGATCTTGACGGGAACCCAGTCCCTACGCACGACGACGATCCACTTTGCTCGTCACTGCACGTCTTGCGGAAAAGTGTGGAACGTCATGTCTTGGCTCGCATGTGCTGCCCGGTGGTTGTGGCACCCAACCGCGCAACAAAAATCTCACCCAACCACGAAACAAGTCGAGCACAACAACAAAAACGAAGCACGCTGAGGCGTTCACTCGCAGGTAAACGACGAGACAGAAATGCTCGCTTTGTGTTGTGTGACGTCAGAGCTTCAATGTTACTAACAGAAGCAGCATTTACGCTAGAATGCGATTGAAGCAGTATAAATTCAATTACTCACGCAGAGGTGCATATAAAATTCAGATATTGCACATGCGATGCGTCTCGAGGCAATAACAATGATATTCAATTGTTTTCTCGAATACAAAATTTGACCGGACAATCCCTTTAAGGGGGGACACCACCCAGAAAAAACAATTTCTGCAAAAAAAAGTTGATTTTGAAAAAATGCCATGTTTACATCCACCAACATCTAGAGAGTATTCCCAGGAAGTTTCATTAGTTTACACTGCATAGTTAATTGTTTGTAAATTATTTTCGGTCCACCGATGCCAAAGAAAGGGTAGGGGTTGCGCACTTTGAATGCATTTTTCTCCGTTCCACTTTTCGGCATAAATTTCACTTTAGGAAAACTATCATTTTCCCAATACACAATAAATTATTATTCTTAGGTGGTTTTCTGGAATAGAATTTTGTGAGCAACATGCCTTGCTGGTTAGTTTTTCTACTGTAACATTCTTTTATGCTAAATAATTACATTTGTAAAAAAGTGCAGACATGAAAAAAAAATTTAATCTTCTTATAAAGTTATACTTACGAAAAACAATGCAGTATAGCAAAATAACTAGCTGGGTAGGTGCTATGGGTATTCCTATAACTAGGTTGCCCGTAAAAATCACAAATTTTTATTTTATTTTAAAACAATAGTTTTTCTAAGTGAACACACTGACTTCCATATTGCAACATTCATTAAAATTTTCAGAATTGATATAGGGAAATGAAATTTGGCAGGGATGGTCTTGCCACTCATATAAACTTTTACTGCAAATTTGACTGAAATCAAGCATGCAGTACAGAAGTAGACTTTTCTGGGTACAGGGGTGGAAGCAAGCTGCAGCCTTTTGGAGCAGGTCTGGGAGCAGCAAAGATGCCCGTTTGGAGCAGCTTTGGAGCAGTAAAAGTTCAGCTTTGGAGCAGCTCAGGAGCAACAAAAATCAAGTTTCGTAGCAGTATAAGCAAATCTTTTAGCTCGTAACCTGAGTCAACTCCGTGCTATAAGCACAGATGTGTTTTTCGAAATACAAAAAGAAATATAAATGAAAAAGTACCTCCACGTGACGTTGCAGAACCATTTCCAAACATGACCTTTCCGTAAATATATTCCCCATAGAAAAAAAAATATATTTGAATGGCTGCCATTGAGAACTGTCCTGGTGGTAGCGGGCTGGTTCCTCTCATGGATTTACAATAGTAGGCATAGGCAGCTAAAAAAAAAACAAAAAAACTCAAGCCTCATGATAACAAAACACTTGCACTATTTAACAACCTAAATCGCACATTCCATAAGTCAAAAACAAAACCATTTCAAGCTGCAACAGTATGGTATAAGATAAAGTCAGACACTGACTACAGTTCATTATTAGGAAACACAAACATTTCAAGTCCCTGTTTAGCAAACAAAAGTATTCCAATACTCAACAGAGTACAAATCTACTCTTTCTGATAAAAGTACAAATGCAAAATATTGAAAACTTCATGATACCATCTATACCATTCCTAATCATACATATGCACATAATTCACCCTTACTAGAACAGGCAGCAATGACTAAAAAGAAACAAGAAAGCTTGTTTAGGAGTTGAATAAAAAAAAAATGACCGCATTTCCACGTGGTGAATGATGTCGATTGGGGCGAAGCTTTGGTGGTGCTGATGATACTGATTTTGTTCATAGGTAGTGCTGATTTTTTTTTTTTTATTGCTCATAGGTAGTGCTGAGTTCCGGGTTGCGTTTCGACTTCATTATTACTGCTTTATGGTCGGTGAAATGCAGAGCCAGTGGTTCTTCTAGCGGATCAGCTTGGATCCACTAGAAGCCGTGGAAACGCATCTCCACCGCTTAAAGGGATATTTCAACGAAATTTGAAATGTTCCCGTCGTGTTCAAAAATAGGTTGAATATGATCCACAATATCGGTAAATGACAATCGCACGTTTGTATTTTGAGCCTGGTTGCTGTATTTTTCGCTATAAACAGCCCACTCTGGCAAGCGCACGGAGAAGGCCCAGCTTAGAGCACGTGACATCCAACGCAATCATGTCGTAGGTCGTCTCGGAATGAGCAAAGCTACGGCGAGGCTGACGTCGAGGGGATGGCCTAGTCGTTCCAGCCACCGAAGCGGCTGCTTTTGTACGAATTTTGAGTGACGGGTTAATCTTCTATAATCTTGTAGGGGGACAATAGCGACTTCTGCGACACACAAAAGGCATTCTCGGGAAGAGAAGAGTTCCTCCTTCCCCTCTTCTCTCGTCGTGGCCGGAGGAGAGACAATCTCCGTCACTAGCTGTCAAGGTTCCTATACGGGCATTACAAGCGAGGCGTTAGCGACATCCACCAGGTGCTCTTTGCTAATCGTTTAATTTGTTTTAAAATTCCTTTTCGAGGCTTTTTTAACAAGATATTGGTTATGTTCGATGTGATACTGCTCCTTTGAACACATATAGACCAAAAAATGAGCGCCGAAATTTCGTTGTAGTATCCCTTTAAGTCAACGGTCCATGTCGGAAAGAGAATGTGTGGTATGGAGCGTGGTTATATACGCAGTTGAGCATTTGACCGCAGCGCCCTCCCGTCTATAAACGTTGATCCAATGCATGCAAAGTTTAATGCGATTATACACGCATTTGACTGCAGTGCCCTCTCCTGTATAGACGTTGAGCGGCTACATGCATCGTTTCATCCATGACATTCCCACCTCTTGAGTTACTACCATATCTCAAAGCCCCCTACTCGTCCCGCAGTCGTGGCCGAGTGGTTAAGGCGATGAACTAGAAATCATTGGGGTCTCTCCACACAAGTTTGAATCCTGTCGACTGCGCAAACATTTTTTCTTTTTTTAAGAAGACAGATGGGATAGCAATCGGAGTGAGCACAGACGCCGGATGGACAAGCCTAGACCCTAAGGAGCTTTGCCCCTAAAAACTGACTGACAAAACTAGCAAGTAAGACCATAAAACGGAAGGTTTTCTTTAAGTCAATGCGGAGCACAAGCTTGTCTGCTTCTTACACAGGAGATGCAGTGACTTCAGAACGACGCTCAGCGCTTATTGGGTGAATACAAAAAATAGTGGGTACCGTATTTACTCGCACAATGAACGCACCCGCGTAATGAACGCACCCCCCAAGTCGGCTCTCAAAATTTCGACTTTTTTTTTCACTCGCATAATAAACGCACCTTCAACTCGGATGTCAAAATTTTGACCCCTCCCCTGCGCGCAGAATGAACGCACTTTTCTATCCTGGTGCAGCGCAGCGAGGTCGCGAATGCATGGGCAGCCTGGGCGAACAAAACGCCTTGCAAAAGGCGTTAAAAAAATTCGAAAAGATCCAACCGAAGCAAGAAAAAAGAATATGGAGAGGAGCTTTTTTTTTTTTTTTTTGCACCGCGCAGTCTGGATTTTGGCGCGCAAGGAGGTAAGAAAGAGAAGCGCTCTAAGCGAACGAAACAGCTTGCGAAAGGCGGCAAAAAAAAAAAAAAAAAAACACGGAACTAGGAGAAAAAAACAAAGAGGAGCTTTTTTTTCTTCTTTTTTTTGCACAGCGCTGTGCGCGCCGTGCGCCAGGAGGCAAGAAAGAGGAGCGGAGAAGCCCTCTAAGCAAACGAAACAGCTTGCGAAAGGCGGAAAAAAGAAAAGAAACAAACAAAAAAAAAACCAAGGAACTGAGGAAAAAAACAAAAGAAAAAGATGAGCTTCTTTTTTTTCTTTTGCACAGCGCAGTTTGGTTACAGGGGGTCGCGCCCTGCGCGCAAGGAGATAAGAAAGATAAGCGAAGTGCCCTCGTCTAAGCAACGCCTAAGCAAACAAGACAGCTTGCGAAAGGCGGCAAAATAAAAAAAACAAAAAAACAAGGAACTAGGAGAAAAAAAAGTTTTTTTTTTTGCACAGCTTAGTTTGGTTACGGGGTCGGGCGCCCCGCGCAAAGAGATAAGAAGTTACTTCGATTTTTCAGAATAAAAGGTCCGTTCATTATGCCAGTAAATACGGACGCAAAAATTTTACTTCGCGTAATGAACGCCCCCCCCCCCCCCCCCCCCCAAACTTTGCATCGATTTTTCGGGAAAAAAAGTGCGTTCATTATGCGAGTAAATACGGTATACCTCAAAGCACCTAACATTGAGGTCTACCCACTATCATTTCAATGAAAACCAATCGAAGCTCGGCGTCGTTTTGAAGTCACTGCATGTCCTGTGTAAGAAGCAGACGACTTGCTCTCCGCATTGCTTGGATGCGTTCTAGCACAACGGTTTAGAATTTCCTTCTCTCAGCAGGACATTCCCAGTCCCACTGTTCTCGTCATGCTCCCGCCGGCTTGCAGTTTGGGTGCCAGCCGGTGTATTCACCACGTACGTCATTTACAAGAAACCCTACACATGACCGAGGCAACCAATTATCGCTTTTATACGTTACGTTTACGACACAAATGAGGAACGCGGAAGCAGTCTCAGCAAAAGCACTCACCCCAAACATGCAAAAATAAATATATATTATGCCAAATGTTTCATTTTATAGAGTAGTTATTGCTTTCCCCAGAAATTAATGATAAGAGAACAAATGCCAGCAAGCTTTAATGTACATTTATATACCATTAGGTCCTGAAAGAATGCCCACCCAAAATAAAAAGGTAAATGGTGTGTCTGTCTGTGTGTGCGTGCATGCGTGTGTTTGTGTGCGTGCGTGTGCACACTTGTGTTGGAAGGACACTACAAGCTACGTGAAACAGGAACTCTTCAACTTCAAAGTTTCCCAACTTTTCTCTCACCAGTCTCGGGTTTTAACGTCATGATTATCTATCATGACGTTTAATCACTGATACATATCGCAGATGCGGCAAACTCGCATGTGCAATAAGAACGTGAGAATTCGCTATGAACTCCCGAGTCACGGGTACCGCAGCAGAAAGCAAATGCAGTGCATTCGCGCTTCACAGTGCAATAGAGACGCAAGAACCCGGCCCCCTCAAACTCGGGTGTCACGGGCACCGGTATCGCGTGCAAAAATCTCAGACAAAAAAAAAAAAAAAAAAATGAGGGAACGAATTTGGAATTTGCATGTCATGGGAAGGAATACCCCGCATAGTATGGATGCTGCAGATTCACGTGTCACGGTGCGATAAGCACGATCGAACCCGCGGCGAGCAGGCTTGTCGCGTACCGATACCAATAACGCAATAAATGCGATTAAAAAAACACACAAAAAAAAGGGATGTGTGATTATTTTAGGGGGCGCGCGTTTGTAAGAGACTTTCTGGCGATTTAATGCCCATGTACGTGGTATTCCAAATACACTCAGTCATGCTCAATGCCAATGTCCAAAAAAAAAAAAAATGATTAACTAAATGACGAAATGATGCAACGATGCATTGTTTCGTCGTTTGTCAGAGTTCTGACGAGTAGTCTGACAAAGCGACCTGCTCATGTGCCATTTTCGGAGATCAGACTTACCCGCCGTTGACACGACCACATCGGTATGGTGGTTTCATAACAATAGGGCCTTTTAGCAAACCTTTACCACGTACCGCACACCACCGGAGCCTTTGAAGCATGATTAAGCGCGCGCACCGCAGTCACGGTATCACTCGGGCGCAGGCTTAAACCCATGCTTCAAAAGCCCCGGTAGTGCACGGTACGCGGTAACGGTTTGCTAAAAGGTCCTATTGGTTCAGAATTACCTAAACGAACACATCGTAAACCACTGTGGCCAATAAAGAAAAATACTCCAATAAATATAACCCTAAAAAAAAAAAAGCTTGTTTGGTTAGTTTTGGCGCAACATGTGCGCTTGGGAGCAGCATGGTGCAGCGAAAGTGGATTGGCGCACAATGGCACAATTGGCGCAGCGCTTCCACCCCTGAGGGTAGTGTCCCGCCTTAATGCTTTATGTATGTGCATGAATACGGTAATCTCTGCATAATTAACCGGATGCCGGATTAAATTGAAGGCGCCGGCTAACACTGCAATGTCATGTCAGTTATGGCTGAGCTTTGATTTGGTAAAACAGGGGCAAGCTGAAGTTCACAACAAGAAGAGGGGGACCAAAGATGCACAGCACGCCACAAAAACAAAATTTTCAGATTTTTCTATGAAGCACCGTGTCTATAAGGAATATTGAGAGAAACTATATAAGTCTTTGAGACTTAAATCAACGGGCGCGTTAGTGTACCATAGCTGGGAAGCGTGTGGAGTGAAAGCTGGCACGGCAAACTCGTAGAGTCGATTAACTCGAGCCTCGCTCCTGCCGCTTTTCTATAAATTCGCCATTGTAACGGCACGTATTAATGTACTCATCGCTTCACGACGTGCATCAAAAATCCAGGCTAACGGTTGTACTGCACTGGATCAATAACACTTCTACAATATAATATAGGGTGCCATATTTGGAGGCTGACCAAACCTTATGGTATAAGGACCATATAACATATATTTTCCTTCGAGAAGTTAGGTATCCTCGAGACGTGTAGCGGTAGAATAACTGAACGGCTGACCGTCAGGATAAAAAATAATTCACTGGAATCTATTGCAATAGAAGCTCCTTACCCGAGCTTCGCAAACATGCCCTCGTCATGCTTCTACTTCTTTTGTCTCACGATATTTGTCCCGAAGGTCGCTACAGTAACTGCCCTCCCTCAACAAAGAATTCTAGAGGGGAACATGTTCATTATGCCTCGACGTGTGGAAGCAGAAAGCGTGTTTGGTGTGTTCGTGGTTGTGGCGGTTTGTTTGAGTGCACAGGAACTTCCGGATGTGCAAAGCAAGATCTCTGTCCTCAAAAAGATGAATATAGTGTGTTCCTGGTAGTGAATTACTGGTGAGCTGGTTTCAAGCAATCAGTGGGCAAATTTTTTTTTTTTTTTAATTCTTCTTTGAGGGAGGGGAGCCATTGTAGCAATCTTCGCTACAAGTTGCAGTAATTGTCAACATCTTACAAATAACAGAAGCATCAGCTGCCACTTCAACACCATTCCAAAGGTCTCCCCTCTCAACTGCTCCATGCAGCAGACATAATGCGCATCTCTAATTATGCTCCATCGTGCAAGTCGGCTTGGTGGAAGGAACTGCCGATGCGAAGGGCCGACGTTCTGTGCACACGGCGGCGGCGAACGCCGGGGGCTTTTCTCACCTAGCGTCTTGAGCAGGAGGGCGGTGAAGGCACACGTGAGCAGAGGGGCCACGTACTGCAGCGCCACGACGCACAGGTAGTAGAACACCCGCACCACCTGCCGCAGGAGGAAACAGACGCGACTGCAGCTCCCCGGTCGGACAAAAGACTCTGTTGCGGGCCAAGCTCCACCCTCTCCACTTTGCCAGAGCTGGAGAGGTGAGAAAGGAAGAGGGTCCACCTGCCTCTTCTCCAGCATTCACTCTGCTAAAGTGGAAAGAGTAGAGGACTCTCTGTCACGAGCTTGTCCCGTTTTTCTTAACCCGCAACAGAGTGTAGGTGCATCCCAGCTTTACGGCCTGCAGCGATGGCAGCAAGCTGTACCCAAGATGATGCGGTGAAGATGCTACTGTGAGATAGAGCTGCCTCTGCGGACAAACCGGCAAGTTTCGTGGGCTCTATTCTGCAATATACAATATAAGTTGATACAGTTTATACAGTTTAGGGATAGCTGAAAAGGATAAAATGCCGCATGGGGTGCGCATGGGGATGTACAAAATGTGGCGGTCTATTATGCATTTTTTTAATGATTTAGCATAGTGGGGTGTCCACGCGTGGCTTTCGTGCCGCCTCTGCCTAAATGACGCCAAGCTACTTCATACCTCTGCACTCTATATATTCAGCCCTTTAAGCTGCCCCCCCTCTCTAAAAAGACAATCTCGAGTTTAATCTTGCAACTATTTTCACCGACCCCTTAAAGAGCACCTAAAAAGAATAAAAGTTTTTTTTAAACGTCTGGTTGGGACAAATTATTTTACACTAAAATTTTTTTTTAGAGCAATATTTACGGCGTGAGACGCGATTTAGTCAGTAGTCACCTCCTTACCAGTTATTTTCTATCTTGGCATTTCGGGCGCGTGGAAGAGAGGTGGATCAGCTTCGTCTTCACAACCGAGATGGTCATTCTGGAATGACCCGTGACCTCATGGGCTTTGCATGCAGAATTTCAAATGAACCTCTCGCTGTCAATAATGCTCTAACTTATTTGTTGACATCATGGGCTTTTCATGCAGAATTTGAAATTACTCTCTCGCAGTCAATTATGCTCTTAAAAATTAATTTTTTTGGGGGAAAAACTTATTTGTTGACAGTGGTGTCTCAACCAGACTGTTTAAAAAAAACTTTTTTTAAGGGGTTTTTGAAACGGCGGCGCAACGATTTTTGGACTTTGGCAAATTAGTTGCGAGGATTAGTCGCATACCTATAAAATAAAGGACAGAAAACAACTTTTCCCTGCTTGCGCTAGTTTTCGTTTAAAAAAATTAAACAAATCAAAGTTTTGGGAAGCTATCAACCCTCGCGCCGTCCTTCGAGTGACGCCGCAAAAGGTACCAGGTGGTTCCCCGTGCCAGAGGTCATGGCAAGTGATCGGTACAAAAGACGGTTTGGATGGGGAGGGTACAAGTGGAGGAGGAATGGTTCGGTCGACTTCCACTAGATGGTGGCACCAAAACTTGCACACTCTCAATGACGTGACACCGTGCTTCCCATGACTGTCACGCGCAACTGCAGAACGCTAAATAATGAATTTTTTCTTTCACAATAGACCGATCTCACGAAGCGTTCGGCACATGCGTGACACCGCCATAATTTTAGTTCACGGGGAACAGGCAGCAGTGCACGGGACGGCTTGTGCCGCCTCATGCCCTGCATGCGCAGAGCTCCAGCAATGTTGTTCCGCGTGCAGAGAGACTGAAGTTCCCTCAATGCATTGCGGCAGCGTAACCAAACTGGCTGGTGAGATCGGTCTACTACGGAGCAGAATAACGGCTATTTGGGAAAGGTGGTGCATTTTCCCTTACGTGCGTCGAGGCGAGCAACATAAAAGAACGCAAGCTGCAAGTTCTTTCGACCACCAATACAACTGTACCGCCCCTTTAAAAGACGCAGCTAAAAGAGGCGGTGGTAAGGACGGCGGATGTCGGGGACCTTTCGCTGTAGCTCGACGTTGGAGATGTTCCCGGCCTCCTTGCGCATGTCGGCCATCCGCTCGGGGGCCAGGTTGAGGTAGGACTGCAGGTAGCGGGGCATCAGCAGCAGCCGTAGCAACACCACCCCCAGCACCAGCAGGATGCGCGTCGTCTCAAAGGCCTCCCCGCTCATCCTGAGATACAGAGAGGAGCTCTCAAGGTTCCCAAACCAACAAAAGAACCCAAAGTCGTTTCAGAGGTCCCACGCAAAAGCCGGGCGTCGCTGCACGACTATAAAGCATTAGCGAAACCTTCCGAAATCCCCCTGGGGTAAGGAAGTCAGCGTATCTTATAGTTTGCACTTCTTTGTAAAAGGGCGATTTCACAAAAAAATGGTGGCTTATAAGTTGCACCTTTGCGTAAATTGGACTTTTATATTTGTACGGTCGGTGCGGCAAAACTGTATAGACGAACTCGCATATTTGTGTTGTGATCGCAATATATGTATGCACAAGCGGGAACCGGTTTCAATGTTCTGACTGGCGAATCGAATGAAAAATATAGCCCCCTGGCATATTTGTGCAGTTACCACACTCGAGGAAAAACACATACACCGTATTTTCCGGCGTATAAGTCTAGGTTTTTTTTAAACCTTTTTGCTTGGTGCGTTTTACACAACAATGCAACTTATATACATTTTTTTTTAAATTCACGGTGCGACGCAATTTATTATATGCGCCGCGGGCAATCTTTCGCAGAGCACCGTAAGTGCTAGCCATAGGTGCTGTTTCCCCCTCCAGAAGCCACTGCTGTCGCCGCACTCTTCTACACTTTCCATAACAGACTCGGAAAGCAAGGAATTTTATGGTTTCCCCGACGTGGCTCAATGTGGATAGGCAAGTTTTACAGCACGTTATGGATGTTGCCTAATTCAGCCATGGTTCCATATTCGTTTCCTTGAATTCAGTAACACAGAAAAGTAAGTGTGCTGGTATACTTGCATTGCAGAATATTTTTTCGCGTTATTCGTTTCCATTTAATGAGCAGTTTTTTTCAGCCACGCTCCAGTTGTGTTGCTATATGTAAAAGGAAGGATTTTGCAAAACATATCTTTTAGAAGTACCGAAAAAAAGTATGTCAAGGTTTATCTTTCTGCCTGCGCATTGATGCTCGCGTTGTCTCTGGGACTTGGCCTAGGCTAGACCTAGTGGTCCAAAGCTTGGTTCACGAGTGTCTAGCTTGTTAAACTTTCGTTCGCTTGGCATGTGTTCGCTCGAATAAAGCTGACTACCCTCTCATCTTGCAGGGTTTACGTCCTTTAGCTGTGAAACACTTGGTTGCCCCCACCAGACAGTGCAGTGCTATGGGCATTTCTCCCGAGTTGAAACGTCAAAATCGCACAGGCGCGTCAAACGGTATGTGCGATCAGGCTGAGTGTGCGAAACTCAGATTTCACAATATGATGCGCATAATTCTGAAAAACTCATTGCGCGAGCCGTGCAAAGAGGTGCGACTTATATACAAACTTTTCTACGAAAACAGCTCGATATACGGATCTGACTTATACAAGGGTGCGACTTATAGTCCGGAAGCTACGGTACACAAGTCGCAAGTTTGTGTAAAATGCACCGAAAAACATTTTGTAAACAAAAAAGTGTAACTTTTACATAGAAAAATATGGTATTTTCCTGGCACACAAGAACATCGTTCTCGGGATGCTGCTCCTTACATGCCTGGTTCTCGCAGAGTAAAAAATGAGACATTTACAATTTCCTGTAATGCCGAATTAGAGTGCAGTTCTTGAGAAGGAGGAGGGGAGAGTACCTTCTTCTCCTCCTCCTCCTCATCTCCCCTCCTTTTTTCCCCCCTTGTGACGTCACTCATGACCTTAGCAACCTTTGTGACGTCACTCGTGACCCTAGCGACCCTTGTGACGTCATTATGGGAGAAGTCCCATAATGCAATGCACTGTTACGCCCACGGCGCTGGCGCTGCCGCTCAAGCCGGAAACAGGCGCCTAAGAGCTGCACTCTAAAACTCAATGCGGGCCAGCTGTAAATCTTCGAAAATGTAAAATTGGGCCTATATCTTTATTCGACAGAGGGCTTATGATATTTGCCCAGAGTCAGGGTCAGTAGGTTTTCTTTACGGGGTGTTCGAGGTTAAATGACGGCACTTTATAAGAACATAGTTTGCGGTGGAGCCTAACAAGACCACTCCATTTGCAATGCCGTTGAAGCTGAATGATTGGAGGACATGCCCCCTCCTTGTCTGACAGGCAGCAAAATGGGCACACACGGCATAGAATTGTAGCTGGTTTGGATCGATGTCTCCGACACTGTAACTGCGACAAGCTGGAACGTCACAATGAAGCGTTTTCTGTTTTCCAAATTTGAGAGCCGCAAAAAGGCGAACAGGAGTACTCACAGGTTTCCCCTCATGCCCGGAAAGGACCGCTCGGTGAAGTACTCCCGCGCAATGGGCTTCACCCAGAACAGCACCACAAATAGAGGTGACACGAAGCTCAGATGAAGCACCATTCTGGAAAGAGTGGCACCACACTGGCTCAGCACTGGTTTACACAGAAGCAGTAAAGGTCCGTTCACACTCTTGCAAACAAGTATGATCGAGAGAGATGAGACCTGTTGAAACCTCTTTAAAATTTCTTAGGACGAGAGAACACACTGGCACTCTGGTGCCATCTATGCGGTGACCCTGGAACTGCATTTCACAAGAGTGAAGGTTCTGCGGGATTTCCAAGGACAAATGTGCGTAATACCTATAAGAAAGGCTCGTTTATAACGTTGACAAAAGTTTTTAGAGCCAAGAAAGAAAGTATAATGCGCGAGAGAAATAGAAAATATGCCCGTCCGGTTCGAAGAGGTTGAAAGTGTGTGAACGGGCCTTAAGTGTAATGACTAAGTGTAATCAGTAGTCAATGATAAACAACATTTTTGAAGGATAAATAAACTTATGTCATACATTTCACAAATGTTTCATGTGTGGCATACTTGCTTGTGAACAGTAGGCCTATGTAGAGGAAATCAAGTATCTTCTTTGTATGTGTTGCCATTTATATGGTAAATCATAATTTTATCTCGCATCATATAGAGATGAATTTCTGATAATTCAAACAAAATTACAGGATGCTTAAAGGGCAACTCCGCCTAATTTCAAAAATTTTGAGATAGTGGCCGATTTTGCTTTTTGAAGCACTCAAAAACAATCCCCAATCCTTTGTTTCGCGAAAAATAAAATATTTTTCGAGTAATTTTACTCTAGCCATGATTACAAACCGAAACCGAAACGATGGCAAAGCCGGACAACATTGTATATTCGGCATCACTAAGCATGTACACCCACGTGATATAAAAGGGAAGAAGGAGCTCCCTTCTTCTCAGGATCCTCCTTTGTGCCTCCTGGATTAGCACAGGCGTCGCTATTCTCCTCCCAGAAGATTATAGAAGATTAACCTGTCACTCAAAATTCTTACAAAAGCAGCTTCCCTCTCCTCCTTTTACTTGGTGTTCAAAAGTATGGGATGTAACACAAGCCGCGCTCAACGAGGCGATCGGCTTATCAGTAGTATCAATAGTCGAGCGCCGGACCGGCCGAGCGCGTCACTCACGTCTTCCACAGCGCTGGCGCCACCCGTGCTCTCCCCGGGAAAGAAAACAAAATTAAGAAAAAAAAAAGAACCTGTACATGCTTGATGACGTCGCGGACGTGCCGGGAGAAGGAATTTGGAGGAAGCGGAAATGCAGCCGGGCAGTGTTGTCTGGCCCGCACGTCTCATCCAAAACCAGCGGATTCGTGCTTGTCAAACTTTGACAGCGATTTTAATGAACTTCTAGGCGGAATTCCGTCGTAATATTTGTCATGGGGGTTTTGTAGATGATAACAAAGAGAACTGTATAGTTTTGCACTACTGGAAAAGAAGCGGAGTTGCCCTTTAAAGGGCACTGACAGAGTATTTATGCTCGCCAAGGTTTTTATTTGTATAGGCCATATAAGAGCCCAACTACCCAGAACACAACTTGCGGCTTGAAATTAGTTTTCTTTCTACCCAGAACTGCCAATCAAGAACTGGCTGGTTTGAGTCATGCCCACTCTCTTTTCCATAGTCATGTGCTGTTTTCTATGGTTTAGACAAAACCATCAAAGATAATCGAAGTTGTGGTTCACTGAAGGCACACACTCAATATTAAAAATAGAAGAAAAAATATGATACCCATTTTTTGCGGCTTTTAAAATTTAATAATTTAATAACCAATGCTTATTAAGTTCCGATTGAAAAAAAAAAAAAGTTGCACAACCATGAGACTTCCAGTAACTTTTTCCTCTAGCCCTGTATCTTTTCTTCCTCCCCAGTCCAGTTTCGGTTTTAGTTTGGAGCAGTTTGCATTCTTTTACTTTAGTACATATATATGTGACGCTGTAGCAAAATATTGATTGGGTAGCCTTCTGACACCTTATTTAATCAACTGGCAAAAAATTGAAAACATTTTTGGGTGGGGTCAGAGTCCTTTTAAGCTTCGACTTTAAAGGGATGCTGAACTGAAATATAGATTCCACAAAACACGCGGCAAAAGCGTGCGGCGGGATGCTACAAACACCAAGACATCACTCATACAGCAATATCTCGAACGGATAACCATATTTTTCAAGAAAAGGAGGCACATTTGACAGGAATGTTGACGTCATGTTTCTCCAAGGAGAGGGAATGGCCTCGCATCTTCTCAGCCTCGCGGCCTTGAGGGAGCAAAGCGAAGAGAGGGGGAAACTAGGTATATTAACGTCACGTGCCTCATTAGCCTGGTTCAATCTCGACCTCTTTTTCCGAAAATATGGCCGTCCATTCGAGATATCGCCTTACGAGTAGTGTTGTAGGAATTGTAGCGTCCTGCCTACATATCCTGAAGTGTTTTTTTTTAAATCCGAATTTCGGTTCACCATCCCTTTAAGAGTGGAACGCGATAGCTAAACATACAAACCCCCGTTCATTCTCAAGCCGTGCGTGTCTGCGTGGCCTGGTCGGTTGCGTGCCTGGCTTGTAACCGAAGAGTCGTGGGTTTGAATCCCGCCTCCGCCTAAAATTCTTCAAATTTTTATTTAAGGCAAATGAATTACTTTATAAAGTGAAATAATTTTAGACATGCAGCGACCTTCGATTTGCATTACATGTCACATTTTAATAACTTTCATTCCACGTGAGACGTCACGTTTTGATGCGTGTGTTGCGGGTTGTTTGAAATTCCCGCACGAGGTAACATGGCTGCGACGTCACGACCCCATTGACTGATTGGGATTTTCCCGTCCCGCCGATGCCGGATTTTCTGCAACACAAGCTCCTAAATGCCATCGCGATAAAATTCGTGGCTTCCTGGAGCTCGAATTATTGAGACTCTACGTTCATCACGGTGCCCTCGGGAGGGTCTTCGGGGTCGGCATCACAGTCTTCATTTCTAGCAAATCGTTTCCCAATGAATCGTTGGTTGCCTCTTCCGTTGCCGCGACGCGAGGGTCCCCATGAAGGAGGGACAGGCTCCTTGGCTCTCAAGATCGTAGGAAACGTGCTACGGGGTGTGCTGGGTATTCAAATCGAGTAGCACCGTCCGTTACCTAATGCTGTTGGAGATCGCTCGAAGAATTTTCACTCCCTTCTCGAGCGAAAGACCTTGCTATTACCGTCTTTCGTGATCATGGCAGCAGCAGAGCATATCTTGTCAATGCTTACCTAGATGTTACTGTCCGCGACCGCGATGGCTAGTGGCCCTAGCGACCCACAAACTTCTTGTTCCATGTTTTTTGGCCGGTTCGAGGGGAGAACTTGTGGGGCGGGCTTCCCCGTGTGCCGTGCCTTCACCGCCACTCTGCGACTCTGCGCACCTCACTGGGAAGCCCCTCCCTGCGAAGTAACTACCGCCGGCGGGCGGACCCATAAAAATGTTCTTATACGTGGTGATTCAATCGCGGAATACTCCTTTGGAACCCATTATTTCTTCTTCTATGGAACCGGTTCTTTGTTTTATTGAAATGACAGCAAAGCTAACTTCGTTACATTGAGCGTAGAACTAGTTTGACGCAAAACACATAATGAAAAGATCTATGCTTTATTAAATAGAGGACTTCGTTCCATTGAAGTTTGCTATTGGCAACTCCGGCAAAAATCTATGGCACCTAGAGGCTCGAACAGAAAACTGTGGCGGCAGGTTCGCATTTGGCCTTCTCAGCCAAAAAACATTCGTGGCTCCTGGCGGTCAAAATGCAAAGCCGTCAAAGTAGGTTTGAAAACGCGCTGTGAAAATAGCTAATTTGTAGTTTGATTGGGATTTACATATAGTACAGTAAACTCTCACTTGAACGAACGTCGGTTTAACAAATATTTCAGATTAACAAACTTAAAAAAAATCCCCGGCTATTTCAGTTCAATGAAGTTAATCCGTGGACCCAGGATTATTTTTGCAATCAGTTCAACAAAGTTTTGTGCTCTGCAGTGCTGGCGTAGCCAATGCCCACTACCCCACTGCCGCCGGCTCTGCAGCGGCGGCGTATTATCACTAGCATTTACAGCGCCGCCAAGGAAAAGCGGCGGTGCGGTAGACGAAAAACGAACCACGTGGTGTGTCTGTTTTTACTTTCTCATCAGTTTCGTTTGGCCATCTTAGTTCTGGGTAACAATGGCAGGACGGCAGTTTGTGCGCCCACTTTTGTAATGAGTACGACGAAACGGAAGCAGTTGTCTCTGTCAGACAAGTTCAAAATCCTTCAGCGTCTGGACAATGGTCAAAGGCAAGTGGACGTTGCAAAGGACTATGGGCGTCCACTGTCTATATTGTCAACGATAGTGAAGCAAAAGTCGAAGCTTGAAAGAGAAACTGCCTTCAATCCCAACAGGAAACGACTCTGCATGGCATATGTCAATCCGGTGGACAATGCAGTTGCGGTATGGCTTCGTCACAGCAGCAAGCTTTGCCAGACAAAGTGCAGAAAGACATGGACTCTCTGGACAGCTTTGTTACTTCATGTGCTTTAACAGCGTCGGTGCAAATGAAAATTACAGATGTTTTTTCAGAATGAGAAAGGCAGCAACTTAACTGTTATGTACTTCGTATATCTCAATGTACACGACTCCATAAATTGCATTTCACACTTTTGACTCGATGTATGCTGCACCCTATGCTGTTCCATATTCTAGAGCAGTGGTTTTCAACCACTGATGTTTCATGGACCCCTTGTGGATCGCCGGAGATGGTGGAGGACCCCGCTTCTGGTAAGGGGAAGGGGAAGGTATAAGTTAATTGTGATAGTGATTGAATAAATAGATATAACTAAGGGCTAGTATGAAGTAGTCTTCTCTTACTGACACAAGAAAATTCACTTGAAAATTGGAACATTTCTTCGTAACTTGCGAAAAAACCACTTTTACTGCCAAGCTTGACTGGTGAGGCTGGGCTTCGCCAACCCCTAGACCCCAGAGGGTCCACGGACCCCCATTTGAAAACCACTGTTCTAGAGAATATATTCAGTTTAGTGAACTTTCAGTTAAGTGAACTATTTCCTTGGGTCCCTTGAAGTTCGCTCGATTGAGAGTTTACTGTATAGCCGTTTCACAAAATGCCGGCCAATATTTAGCGAAGGAAACTACCAATCACAAAGTAACAACGGTTGACGACCTTGCTTAGAGATGACACGTCCGGGATAACAACGTTCTTAATTAATTAAGCTCGAGAGATTAACCTTTTCTTTAGTATGAATAAAGGCAGTAGTTTGAATTGGAAACATGCAGGGATGCACCGTAGATGTTTTGGTTTCCCGTTGGTCATATTTTACTCCTTACAACAGTATTTCTCAAGTGGGGGTCCCGGACCCCTTGGGGTCGGCAAAAGCAATCGCCCTGCCTCATCAGTCAAGCCCTGCAATAAAAGTTGCATTTTTTCATATTGAGAAAAACATTCCAATTTACGGGTTAGTTTTCTCGTGTGTATGTCTATGAGAGAGGTCTACTTCACACTAGTCCTAAGTTATATACATTTATTAAATCATTATCATACCTTCCCTTTCCCCTCACCAAAAACAGGGTCCTCCACCATCTCTGCTGATCCACAAAGGGTCCGCAAAACATCAATGGTTGAGAACCACTGCCTTACAAAATCAAAACCTCAGAAGCATGTCCTAACACTGGCATGTTTTGCATTACCGGCCAATAGGCCATTTGCAGCATTCCCAAGTGCCCCGGCCCGCACTCAAGGACTCGCCTTTGTTCCCGTGATCATGTCGCTCGCTTTCGCGTAGCTCGCTTTCGCGCACTCAGGTTTCCGAACGCCACTGTACGCTCTGGGGAGGTTTCCTTTTGTTCTTCGATTCGTGTCAAAGTGTTGCGATTTGTCTGCCTTTTTGCGCAATCTGAGAGCTATGGGCAAGTACCACTTCAACAGTCATACGGGATTCAAGTCGAAAGTTGCCGCGCATGCTATCAAGTACCAAAAAAAAAAAAAAAAGATGCGTATTGCGCAGTATGTAAACTAATTAAAGTCCGACTGACGATTCAGTCCGGATTCCGGAGTGAAGGCGTTTTCGACCAGTGCAGCCGAGCGCGCTCATGTACGTTCATTTCGAAAGGATACAAATTTTTTTTTTTTATCCGTGTATGGGCCGCACTTTGAAAATTTGCCCTCAAATCAGGAAAAAATAGTGCGGCCCTTACACGAGTTTATACGGTAATACATGATACACACCTTTTATGCCAAATGCATGGTTTTTGCAGAAAAAGATTGGTTGGCATTTCATGAAACAACCTGTACATACACAAGTAGCGACATAATGCCACGGGGAGATTAGTGGCCGATTATGCGTTAGCACACCGCAGCTTGAAGCACATGGAGTGAAAGCTCGAGCGGCAGAACCCAGGGATTTTTGGTTCAATCCCCACCCCTGCCCCTTTCAATCTGGATGAGCATCGTACGAGCGAGCAGACGTGTATGACTACAGCGTGATCACTGATCTCAATAACAATTGCTGGACCGCGCATCCCCGCTCCGCGAGTGCGGCCACCGGACGACCTTTCTGCATGCCGTTTTTGTTTGTTTTGCCAGCGTTGCAGAGGCCGGCGGCAGCATACTAAAGACATGTTTTCTATTCGTTCGTCGTAATTCGCTGAAGACATTCTTTAAGATCCCCAAGTGAGGCGTGATACTTGCAGTTGAGAACACGTGGAAATTTTCATGAAAGCGCAGTGCCGCAGGGAAAAGGCACAACTCGTCGAAAGCAAGTTTCGCTGGTTTCATGGCATGTTCAAAGCTTCCTTGGCACGTTGAAGTGCTGTGTCTCTTTGCCTTCGCACGCTTGGATACCGATGAAGAATCGACGCCGTGCAGTTGTATTTTGTGAGTGCAATGCGTGTGAAGCCGTATATAAAGGTACAACTTGTCGAAAGCAAGTGTCATTGGTCTCGCGGCATGATCAAAGCTTCCTTGGCGCGCCGAGTGCTGCATCTTCGTGCCTTCGCACGCTTGGATACTGATCAAGAATCGACGCCACACCAAAGTTCTGAAGGTGCGTCGCGCGTAGATGTCTTTGCCACAGGGTTCTGGATCGTCCAGCTGTTCCGGTAAGTTGCTATCAATAAAAGGGGGTGACTATGGCTATGTTTCAAATATACTCTAATGGATAATATGGGAGGACGAATAGGGCAACACTGTGGAGCAAGGAGGGTTTTCGAAGGCAAAAGTACAAGACGGCAAGAATGAAAATCTTTGAAGCGTGGCCCATATGATCGTGTACAATCTGTTGACCAATCACAATTACGGGGGCCGCGCTCAAACGTCATGTGAAATAAGTAGGTTCATAATGAGCCAGCACTGATCAGTGATGAGGAGCTGTTGTGCGCGGTATTCTGTAACTCCTCATCTGACAAATAAAAACGTACCTCCTCCCCCCCCCCCCCCTCTCCCGTCACACTGGATGCTGGATCAAGCTTGTTTCTGGACCGTGAATGCCGCAAGTACACAATCGTCAGTGTAAAGTAAGACGCTGATCCAGAGGCACATACGGCTTCACACACATTGCAATCGCAAAACACATCCACAGGGCGTCAATTCTTGATCGGTATCCAAGCGTGCGAAGGCACAGAGACACGGCACTTCGGCATGCCAAGGAAGCTTTGAACATGCCGCTACCCCGGCAAAACTTGCTTTGGACGAGTTGCCCCTTTTTCCTGCGGCACTGCGCTTTCGTAAAAATTTTTATGTGTTCTCAACAACAAGTATCACGCCTCACTTGGGATCTTAAAGAACTTCTGCGGCGAATGACGACGAATAAGTAGAAAACATGTCTTTAAAACGCTGCCGCCGGCCTCTGCAACGCTAGCAAAACGAAAAAAAAAGACAGCATGTAAGATAACCGTCCGGTGGCCGCACTTGTGCTGCAGCGAACAAGGGGGGATGTGCGATCCAGCAATTGTCATAGAGATCAGTGTGTGTGATGCACAGGCTAAATTTCTCGGATGAATGGATATGAAGGTGTTAAGGGCTGTAAACTTTATAATGGGCAGTAGCTAGCGCCATCAAGCCTAAAACCTTAAAAAAATACATAATTCCTCCCTCGTTATTACGCCCATGCATTTCTGTAACTATCACCAGACCGTGCAGGTGATCGCCAGGATGACCTTTGGGGGATATGCCAAAAAAGAAATAAGAATGTCACCCATTGCCTCCTCCTCTGGCGAGAGAGTCACTAATTTTCCTCCGGTCAAACCTCGTTGGCGTCCCCCCGGGCCCACCAAAGCATAAACCAGCGTCGCTGCACTTCAAAGGCAGACTGACCTTGTGCCGCAAAAATTCAAACGTCAAATTTGTTTTGTCGTCTGACACGATGCCACCATCTTGTCCTAAATAAATGAGCGAAGCACGCTGGTCGGGATCTCTGCAATGTTCGCACCACTCCACATTGATCTCTACACCACTCTTTGCTTCTTGAGATCAGGACAGACGCTTAGAAACATATATTTTTGCCATAGTGCAATGAATGCCGAATAGTGTCGAAAGAGAATGCCGACAACCGCATTGGCCAAGACACCAAGGCATCCGAAGGGGGTCTCACTTGAGGAAAGGCTGTCCCTCGCAGTACTTGAAGGAGTCCCAGTGCATTCTGGCATACCGTAGCCCCGGGAAGGTAAAGAAGGCACCGACAAAGCCGCACCACACGGCCAGGCCCAACTTGAACATCAGCTGGGAGGTGGGGCCACTTCGTGGGGAAATGGACAAGGCGGTTAGAGGCAGACGTGAAGAGTCGTCTTCTGCTGGGAAGAACGCCTGTTCCCGATTTCCCGCCCTCCCTTCCCTCTCCTCCTCTTCCCACAGCAGCGGGTGCCCGAGCTTCTCTCCACAGAAAGGAGGAATTGGGGGAGGGTTTCCTCCTTTCCGGTTGTTCGGCGGCCTTAAAAGGCAACATATACAGACGATAGATTGATTGTATTGAGATTTACTATGATATCCTGAACGCAGTCTTGGGTAAATTACTTTTAAAAAGTAATTCGTTACAGTTACAGTTGCTTTAAAAAAAAAGTAGCAAAGTTACCATTACAGTTACCGGAACAAAAGAGTAACTCGTTAGTTATACTTACTTTCAAAAAGTAACTACGCTACTTTTCAGTTACTTTTGTATAACACAAAAAATTAGGAAAAACTAGAAAACGCCCCTCACCAAGTTTCTTTGCATAAAATTAAAAAGTGTGCTTTTTACTTCATATTGTGACCTAGTAGCAGTTGCTTCTCGAAATTGGTATGTGAAAGCTTCCCTCGTTTAATGGCGAACACGTGTCTGCCCTTGCTGAACAGGCGCCCGACTGGCACCCTGGAAGGAATTGCATGGAGACAAACGCGGACCCAATACAAGTGCCCTAACCTTGGTAGCACTAGCACAGAGGGGCAGATCCAGGGGGGGGGGGGACAAGGGCGACAACCGCCCCCCCCCCCATTCTCGGAGGGCAATTTGGCATAGGTGGACCACCCGGTGCACACGAAAGAATGGGAAAATAGTATCCTTGCAAATTTCCCGTCCGTCGTCCCCGTCCCGTTCCCGTCCCGTCCCGTCCCGTTCCCGTCCCGTTCCCGTCCCGTCCCGTCCCGTCCCGTCCCGTCCCCGTCCCCGTCCCCGTCCCCGTCCCGTCCCGTCCCATCCCGTCCCCCCCCCCCCCCACAAAAAAAAATAAATAAATAAACGGAGTTCTGGATTCGCCCCTGCTAGCACATTGCTGGCTCGTTGACGTATGCGCTGGGTTCATAGAGTCCCTGGATATATTTCTGTTCGTACCCGGCAAGCCAGAAGCAAACCCCGCGCAAACAGCAGTAAATGTTGCCTCGACTTTTGACACCACGCAGGTGTAGTGGCGTAAAATCAAAATACGAAACACATACATTGCGGAGTAGTGGCGCTAATCAAAATACCAGATATGCACAGTGCACTCCGCGTGTATAGTTGATTCACGGTTGATTCACCCGATTAAAAAGCGTTTGTGCAGGAAAAAGAATACCGCAACATAGATAGTGCTTCAGATCCTAAGATGTAAGTGTTCAGTCACAAAGTACAAGCGCGTGCGTAGATAACTACTTTTTTTTTCCATCAATTCTACACGTGGCTATATTCAGGACGTGACTCGTGAGAAAGAATGCGTATTCACAAGTTTGTGCAAGGCCAACTTGACACTCGGAATATCGGAACAGACAATTTGGAAAGTGCAACGAATAGCTAGATTGTACTCATTCAATTATATATTATTCATAAAAAAACTGGAAAGTAACGACAAAAGTAACGTCGTTACTTTCATCGTTACTTTAGAAAAAAGTAATAGAACTACAGTTACAAGTTACATTTTTAAAAAGTAACTCGTTACAGTTACAAGTTACCAAAAAAGTAACGAAATTACAATAACGTGTTACTACCCAAGACTGCCTGAACTTAAGCCCACCGTCAAACTTTGGCCCACACTTTGATGTCAAGATACCTATGTCAAAGGAAATCCTGATATATGGTCCCCTCTCTCCCCCAAAAATGGAAATTCCAAAAAACTGGAGTCACCTAGGCAGACCTTTCTTTTTAAAAGTCTCCGGAAGCATGCATCTATGCACCAAACAAGAAAGTTGCACAAGAGCCAGCTCCTTGTGATTGACAAGGTGCCTGACTCGGCTTGAACCAACACGATTGCCAGCTTTACCACTTCCCCAGCATTGTGCTTCACCGCTTCTTTCACCTGGTTGCTCGCTCGCTGGTTGCACTCGGAAGGTTTTTCTATTTTTTTTGTTGACTCTTTTTTACTCCATCTTTTTTTTTTTTAATTTACAGATCAGCAAAGGCACTTCTTAACCAGCCTAACAAAGGGAACATAGCAGTTTTAGAAGCATGTTTTCACGCAACAAGCGTTCGTGCTGTATGCCAAAGGGCAGTGCCCCGTACGGGTATGGAAGTAACAAACTTCACGATAGTAAAACATTCTTGCAAAAAGGCAGGTGGGTTAATCTCAAAGATTCAACAACCCACCTTTTTTTCCCCAATTATCTCCTGTGAAAAGGTGGGTGTTCTTTCAGGATATTACGGTAAGTCATACTAAGCATGTGCCAATCTTCTAAACTTTAGAATATCACCGTGTATGTGCTTTAATATTTGAAACGATTGGCACTATATAAATAAACTCAAATATCTTAAAAAGAAATAAAATTAAAGTAATATAATATAATTTAGGTAGGTTATTTTAGAAGAATCTAGACTATTTTAGCCTAATTTCAATTATTTCCCAAAAATGTAATAGTGTACTACTGTATTTTAGTTTGTGCGTGTGCTCTCCCTCCAGCAAGTGTGCACTGGGGCAAAGTGACATCATGGCGATGACGTCGAACGTGATGCCTTTCTTGGAGGAAAGCACTTCTTGACCAGTTTGTGCGGTCGCATGTTTCAACAGTTGTGGGTTTCTTTTTTGTACATCTTACAAAACTATGCTTTTGGCTGAAAAATGGAAAGGCTGCTATCATGGAAGTGTCTCAGTTGCTCCGTTACCTTGATGTGAGAAAACGTGTGGATCACAATTTGTGTTTGTCAAGTCTAGGTACCTGACATTAGGATGCCCGGTCATACTTTTAGATTTAAATCATAATAATATGGCTGTTTACTCGTTAAATGCCCGATTAATCTACGCTAGATAAGATTTATATAAAGAAATACCAATAGCTATTGGAAAATACATGAGCGGTGCCACATGTTAATATGGCTTGGCACTTGGGTGCTCATCAGCTAGTGCTGACGACTGCACAAGAGGCAGAGATAGCTCGACATTGCTCCCAAATAAGTCAAATCAGACTCACCTTGAACTGAGCCCCTGAATCTCCAGAAACTGGTGTGAACTTTCATTGAAGCTTAGGTATGCTGCAACCAGAAAAAGCATGAAATTAAAGATTCGGGTGGAAAATTCAAGTGCCCCTGACCGGACCCCCGCCACAGAAAGGACCCCCATTCCTGCTTCGACAAATCGGCACTCCAACTTCCTTCTGACGAAGCAAAGACTTTCAAAAGGAAAACAGTAATGAACCGGGTGTCAGTCTCTAGCCACGAGCTTCGGTCCTTCGATTCCTTGACGTACGACCGAAATCTCGATTAAATGGTGCCTTCTCCGTGCAATCAGCCTCCGTAAGGTTGCAGACACCTTGGCCAGGCTTCGAACCCGCCAGCTGGAGATCCGTAGGCCGGCGCTTTTCCTCGAATCACCGTAGCAGCCGACGCCTCTGCCGTTTAAGCCACGCCACTAACGTGGGCCAGCGAGTAACGTAGGAATTCATTTCGGCCGATAAAGTCACTGCCGCCACACGTTACTCACCATCCCTGAGGCCAAACTCAAGAAAGTCCTCGTCTGCAATGAGCACGACCATGGCCAGAACGAAGAAGGAGAGCCCCGAGACTAGGCAGAGGGACCGCTCCCCCACGGGCTCCTCCCCCCGGAAGTACAGGGCCGTCAGAGAGAACAGCACCTTGCTGGGATGACGAGGGGTCAAGGAACGGCACACCAAACCAGCGGGAAGATGTAGGGCACGGCAAGGTACTTCGTTTATGTCTTGCCGTACGAGAGAAAAGAGACAACCTTGCCTGCCAACAATGCGGTATATTAATTTGTATGGGTCTGGCAGCATACCAGCCACAACGTTCGAGATGAAAGTAATTATGATACTAGTGGGAATCTAAAGTAACGGTGAACACAAAAATGTCGGCAGTAGACAGCACTAACCACCAAAACATTTGTAGCTGCATTTCCACATGCGGCTGTGCTTCCACCAGCCCACAGAAGCTTCTACAATACTTTCCTCTTCTGAGAAACCGTCGTCATATCTGCAAGTCCGAGATTTGCATTCCTCCGAAGTTACCGAGGATATCAGCATCCACAGCGATACGAAAGACCAATCGCGAGCGCATGGCCACAACGGTTGTCGGCGGCCAAGCTGGGCACCTACTGGGCAATTCCACATCACACCCGGGGAACACGGTGCGGTCATTTTGGTCAAGCCGTAGCATTTCAGACTCCTTGGCACGACGAGAAATCAAACGAAACGAGCACACCGCAGCCGTCGGCAGGCGCAAAAACGACCGAGCCAAGGATACGTGGCGAAGCCGAGGACAAGGAGGCACCAGACGAGGCTGAGGTTCACCTCCTCCCTGCCGGGCAGGAAGTGGTAGTAGGCCTCGGTCAGGGCATACACCACAACGGCGCAGCCCGCAAAGTCCAGCAGCCACTGATAGTCTGAGTAGAAGCGCAGCTGGATGGCCTCCCCGATGCTGATGGGGGCCACATCCAGCTCAAACTGCAGGCTCTTGGGCACCAGGAACTCCTGGTAGTCCTTGTCCTCATTCAGGGTGCCATTGCGGCCGCTGCGGGTTCCCGGGTTGAAAAAAATGTATGGCAAATTGCTAGGCAACTGTGTTGCATGCGTGAAACATTCGAGCATCATGAGCATTTATAACATTGTTTAGCAGCACATGTAGTGTGTTCAGCCAGATGCCTACTTTCACGGCGCCCTTTATCGGATAATTTAATGTGTGGCATGACTACACTTAAAATGATAAAAAGGGTGGTCTTCCAGAAACCTCCCACTTTGCCTACCTCTCCTCCTCACTCCACTTCTGGTCAGATGACCTCCCCATTTACCCAGATGCCTACTTTCACGGTGCTCTTTATCGGATGATTTAATGCGCGGCATGACTACATTTCGATGATAAAAATGGTGGTCTTCCCGAAACCTCCCACTTTGCCTACCTCTCCTCCTCACTCCACTTCTGGACACATAACCTTCCCATTTACCAATTAGCATCAATCACCTCACTCCTTCTCTCCCACTTGAGCCTTGCGGCCACGCTTTTATCCAGGCTGCACTTAAGGGCTTCATGGAATGCCAAACACCTATACTCCGTTTTACAATAACTTGGCTACGGCCCCCGCGACCCAAAAAGAGCGTCGAAGCGAAGCGCGTGGCACTACGTCACGGGAGCATTCATGTTGCTACACCAAATGCGAGACCTGGACAAACCAGCTGTCGTCTGCTGGCCAAGAGTCGTCTGCTGCGAAATGGACCAACTTTGGATTCATAACGTCCAGTGCCTCAACACTGCTGTTCGATAGAGTAGCAAGCTCTTCGGGAAACGTTCATGAGACAACCATACTCTCAATTTACCCTCGAATCTGTGGCGGGTTCTAATGCCAGGGCAATGTTTTGAGTGGAAGCGGTCGAATACACGGCCGCAATCGTTCAAACATTGTTCAAAAGCCATGTTGTTCTTGAAAAAGTGTTGGTCTGTATAAAAAATCGTTAAAAAGTAACATGTCTTCGTCTTTTTTCAGTGTCGTGTTGTCAGAGGAGGCCGACAGTAACACTATTAAATGCGCCCCTCTGCATTGGGGCACGTTTACACCATACCTCTGTCTTGTGGTGCGGAGTATATTGGCCAGACAGGGCGCTGCTTTGACAACAAATTACATGAGCATGATAGAGAGGTCGATGGGAGGGAGTCACAAAACCCGATTGCCATCCACAGTAGGGCCTGCTCCTCAAGTCGCCCTAGATTCTCTTCAGCAAGAATCTTAGGTTCGAACCGAGGTCGCTATGGCCGTGAGATAATTGAGGCCTACGCGATAATGCATGCATCCCGAAACGTCTCGGCGCCCTCGCTTTCTCGTTCCACGAAGGAGGTGGCATACCTTCGTCCGCAGTTGATGACCTTGATGGCCTAGGTCGTCCCATGATGTCGTTTCAGGCGGCTTCGCTTCTTTGCGGCTACCATTTTGGCCTTTTTTCTTCCCCGCTAGTAATTTTCCTGTCTGTGTCGCCTTTATCCTCTCCCTACCACCCCTCACATTTCCATGTTCCCGCTTTTCGCCCTCCCCGTTTCCGTCTCGGGGTTTCTTGGGCCGGGTGCCGGTGCCTAATAAAGCTATTTGTGTTGAAAGTCAAAAGAGGTGCTGTTCTGTCCATCCCTATGTTTATTGTTTCTGTTTTTATTTAACTTACGGTAAATTACTTAATTTTTGCAAAGACCTAACTACTGGAAGTTTCGTGACTGAAAAATATACAAAAAAATTGATCACATGAATGCATCGCCCCATGCTAATGCTTTCTTAGCATACGACCCCCAATCACAAAATTTTGTGCCTGTAAAATATTCCTGAAAGCTGTGCCTTGCAAAATTTGCAAAATATTGAGCCTGCAAAAATGAAGCTGTAAAGCAATTCCCTAGCTTGCTCCCATAAACTGTTTCACTGCTATCTGCTTGACGATGGTACAAAACGAGCAGAAGACAGAATGGGGGGACTTGGTTTAACTTATTGATGTTCAGCCAGATGGGAAAGAAAGATGCAAATACGATGTAGAGTAAAGAGCCGGAGAAAGCCCAAATGTGCAAAATCTGTAGAATAGCACTGACACGACCTAAAGCCATTTACGTTATAACCGTGAAACAAATGATTTCCGATTTAATGTAAACTTCAAAAATCATATATTTTTAGAAATTTGAGTTAACTTCATTATTAAGATTCCCATTTATCATGCTACACCGCCCTTCACAACATTTTTTCTGTAACCACCCTATACCACTTCTTTATTTTCCTCAGTCTCAGGTTTATTGTAAAAAAGGAACGGCTCACTTACTTTTAGTAAGTATCATGTAATAATTATATGATTTAGTATCTGCTTTACTGTCATAAAATGCAATTTTCGCTTTCACACTGCATTTTTTGAGGGCAACATGGACTAAAGAGTCCATGAAATGAAGCTATCGAATGGGAACCCAGGCGATCTGTGATGCGCTTCTTACTCTCCAGCCGACACATTTGGCGGTGCAGAAAGCGTTGGCTGAGCAAGTCTTTCCTTTTTTCTATTTTGCATGATCAACAAGAAGTGGAACGAGATAATAATATGGATGTATGCTGCTCAGTCTAAGGCCTACTACCTACGACCGTGAAGCCATGCACAGTCAAAAGGGTGTGACTGCAACGGCATTATGCAAGCATCTGATTAGACAACCAGAGAAGGCTATCGCATCAATGTGGTCGACGAATTTCATGTATTGAATTACCTGTGTCATCCTCTGCAACAACACGCTTTTGCTAAATAGATGAATAGACCCCCACATCAGAGGGACTAATTTACTTTACATGCAATATAAAGGCATAAGAAAGATAATTTTGTCCCTAAATAAACACTTAAACAGACAACACGACAAAGAACTCGAAGAAACTTCAGTTCAGTCTCTACAAACTACAGTTGATAACAGGTTAAGAATTCAGGGGAAACTCCTCCCGCCCCTTTCCCTTTCAGCAGAGCGGATGCTGGAGAGGAGGCGACCTCTTTTCTAGCAGCCACTCTGCTGGGGTGGAAAGAGGTGGGAGGAGCATACCCTGAACCCTTAACCTGTCACCAACTATAGTGCTTGGAAAGCACACCTGAGTAAGAGAATTTGCACATCTTCAGAGAGTACCCCTCAACATTATGTGCACTAGAAACCCTGGACCCCCCTCTTTTCTGTCTTGTCCAGAAACATGCTCTCTCCCTACAATCGTGGTGCGGAGAAACTGTGCAAGGCGTAATGGTCTGCACATGTCCCATATCTAGCCTGAGATCTCTGTAAAATAAAACCTTGATGATCATGAATATGAAACCGAAATGATGATGAATATGAAAATGCAGTGAAAAAGATGGCTTTTTATTTAATACTTGTTTCTTCCAAAAAAATTTTAAATTAGGATTAAAATATAGGAGGTTCATCAGTAACCCCTCTAAAAAAAAAGGTTTAAAATAAAGCCAAACTTGTGCCCAGTTTATAAATAAATCCCACTTTCAACCCCTTTGCTGATAAAAAAAACAACAACAAACTAACCTAAAAAATGTTGAACTTTAGCCATTAGGTATCTATTAGGTAGTAAAAAGGTACTGCAATCCTAGAAATTCAGTAGGGTACATTTCCAAAGCAGACAGGACCGAGCAGACAGTATTAGATGCCTTGCATATAGAGTGGCATTCACAAATTTGCTCCGACATCAGTTCCTCAACTGCGGGGCTACAGCATGACAAACTGCTGCCAAGCCCGAGCAATGCGGAGAGTTGCTCACCGGTCGCGCCACTTGTCCCTCTTGCCTTTCCCTTTGTGCGGCTTGCCCAAAATCCCGGCCAGAGACTTGAGCTCCTCGTCTGTTGGATGCAGGTAGCGAACAAGTCTGCGAGTGGGGCGTGGCGAGAAATCGGAGAGGAAAGGTACATTAGCAGAGTCGCACAATGACGCAGGTATGCACCGTAGTTCGCCGACCCTTGTTCTTCCGATCGAGGCCGGAGCTATGAGCTACACACACTTAATTCTGTGTCTCCCAAGCATTGCGCAGCGTCGGTCCACTTGAGCGGACCTTCACCGGCAGCGTCGTGCAAAGCATCAAAAGCTCGAGACAAGTGCAGATGACTCATAGCTTTTCCAATCAGAGAGAGAGGGACAAAGTGAATATACAGGCAACACAATTCACGAGCAGTACTGGTTTTATGCAGAGCGCAAGTTTGTGTGCTTCATGCGGAGGAGTTGCGGTGACGTCAGAATGACGCCGAGCTCCGACTGGCTTTGATTGAAAGGATAGTGGGTAGATTAATGCTAGATGCCTTGAGGTCTACCCACTATATTTTTTCAATCAGCCGATAAGAGCTTGCCGTTCTGATGTCACTACAACGTGTTCTGACATCATCGTAACTCCTGTGCAAGAAGCAGATGGAGTCAGATGTTGTCAGAATGCCGAGCTCTTACTGGTCAATTGAAAAAAAATAGTCGGGACACCTGCTATGTCCTAACTATACTCGTGGCAACTCACGGGTGGAGCAGAAATAAAACCCAACTAAAGAACTGGAAGTGCTTCATTCCGACATGATCCTTTGCGTCCATCATGGCTCCCCTGCCCACTCGCCCGAAGCGAAAATTTCTAACTGGGACCAGTTGGCACCTCAACTGGTTTCAACTGGGACCAGTTGGCACCTCGACTGGTTTCAACTGGGACCAACTGGGACCAACTGGTACCAACTGGGAATCAACTGGGACCAATAGGAGTTCAACTGGGACCAGCTGAGGGGTCAACTGGTTTGAACCACTCCCAGTTGGGAGTCAACTGGTTTGACTCCCAGTTGGGAATGGAGTGAACTGGGACCAGTTAGGAAAGGAACTGGTTGGAGCGGTTCCCAGTCGGATTTCAAATGCCTTTCCCATTCCCAGTCCACACGGGGCAACAATTTTGACAAGTTGGGGGTGTATTGACTTTTGCTAATGAAGAAAACTAAAAATACTTACATTTTTAGATTGATACAAATAGGGAAATTTTTGATTTGGGTACATTTATATATTTACAAAAATAATAATAAAATTTTAATTAACTAAACAATTTCTTTTAATTGGAAAATATAATTAGTGACAAAATGTGTTTACCTAAATGAACATTTAGTGCATTATTAAGATATATTAAAACACTTATTTAAATATGTAGTTTTTTTTTTTCTTTTAATAAATAAATTTATCTTTTGGCCAATCAGAGCTAGCCGGCCGCCGTGGCACGCGGGTGCGGGTTAGTGGTACGCGCTGTCGACAAATGGCGCCAGGGGTTTCCCCAGGATTCTAATCAAGGGGGGGGGGGGGTGTCCCAATGGCTCGGGGGGGGGGGGGGGGGGGGCGATGCAAGGCGAGGCTGGATAAAATATAAAACTGTTTCTTTTTTAGTCCACTAGCTAAATTACAGACGTCTATTAACCAAATGCTTTCTTTATATATACACCTGAGAGGTGGTGTTTTCTACTTAATCTGAAAAAAAAAAAAATTTTAATTCATTTTTTCCTTTTTTTTTAGATTCAAGGGGGGGTGTCTAGAAAAACTAGGGGGGGTCTCAACCCCCCCTAGGGGGTTCTAGGGAAATCCCTGGATGGCGCTGCCTATGCACACAAAGTGGAGACAGTGCACTAGGAAATTAAGAGGAAAGTTTTTAGGCTATAGTGGAGTTACGGAAGAGCAGGTCTCAGTTAGGAAGAAAGTTAAGGCCACAGAAAGAGACTGGTGGCTAGACGAAATGCAGACAAAGACGGCTCTGGAAAGCTATAGATTCAACAAAACAGTTATTGCTAAAGAAAGCATTTATGACAATTCTAGGGGAAGCTCATTGTTGTTTGAGGCGAGGACGGGTGTTCTGCGAACCAGAACATACAGAGCGAGGTAACAGGAAATGGATACAGTGTGCACTGCTTGTGGAGAGGAGGACGAGACGGCTGAGCACTTTATAATCTACTGTAAAGGGCTTCACCCTATGCCTACCGAAGACAACATGGATTTAATAAAGTCATTGGGTTTTAAAGACAGTGAAGGGAGAGTGGATTTCAAGACTGTAGAGATTACCAAGCAAAGATTAAGTGAATGGTGGCAGAAAGCGAGGGAAAACTATACTCCGTTTCACCTTCAGTCCGAGCGCAGCGGACGCTAGGAGCCATCCCAGCAATCCAGCGTGGAGAGAGTGTCATGTGACCTTGAGCTCCCTGCGTCGGTCTGCCCAACCGGCAGATCACGCGATTTTCTCCCGGTGCTGGATCGGCTGGGATAGCTTGTGGCGTCCACTGCGCTCGGACTGAAGGTGGAACGGAGTATAGGTATTTTCTTATTAACTGATGGCAAGGGGGTTTTATAGCCCCACTTTCTTTGCAGTGCGGAGTGAATATAGATTTCACATCTAAATATTCTAAGCTTAAATGGTAAAACAAAATGGCTAGGTGCCGTAAGCTACCGCCCGATCCAAAGGGCTCAGCCGCATTCATCCATCCATCCATCCGGAGTCGGACGGACGCGGTAGAGAAGGGTCGCCATCGCTGAAGTTGGCATCGTTACGAAAATGTCAAAACTACAGCTGCGCTTCTTTGGACCTAACGACACACCCACCATGGTGGCGGCGGTGAACTTCGGGGGTGGAAAGATGCAGTTCAGCGATCGGAGGGCAGCCAGGAAAGACCGGACGGAAGAAAACTTTTGGAGAGCACAATGGCAAAAATGGCGGGAGGTCTACCTCGAAAATGTTCAACTGTTGTGACAGAGATTGCAAGGTGAGAGCGCTACCCCATCTTATCAGGACTTCACCTGTGCAATGCGGGATCACGGGTGAGCACCTTTCTTCACGCGATGGGGAGAGAAGCCGAGGACGTCTTCACTAATAGACGCCAGTGGCTGATCTTCCCTCATCTCACGAATACTACCTCTGAAAAAGCGATTCAACCGTCGCAAGAAAGTGGCTAAACCCGGAGAGTGTATGTCACCGAACCTATTATTTAGTTTCATTCTTCAAGTTTTTGACAATAAAGTCTTGTCAACCTTCCATTTTGTGCCGTGTTTCATTGTTGCTGGAGTTGGTACCAGCGGTAACTGGGACCAACTCCAACTGAAACCAGTTGTAACTGGGACCAATTCCAGCTGGGACCAACTCCAACGGACTTCTTCCAAAACCGACGCGCCCCATCGCGGCGAAATACCACGCAGTGCACTCTGGGAACTAGTTGGCCACTCAGTTTCGGTTTCGACTGAGCAGTTTCATCTCATGCTATCACGCCGCGACCGAACGCGCTGCTTGCGTTTTCGATTATCTGACTTTTCACGAACGTACAATACACTCATTCTCGAGCGATACAAAACGAAGACCGGGGCACTTTCCTTGGTTCCCGAAACACCGGATATTGTGCGTGCGTATGCGAATGTAGTAAGTCGTGGCTTAGTCACCTCACCCCACGAGTGCATCTTTGAGCTCAATGTCAGTAATCCCGTCTAGTACCAGTGAACTACAACTGAAATTTGTTCGTCTGGAGCCTTACACGCATTTTGTTTGCCAAACGTCCGCTTCTTGTTACTTCACTGGGCAAAAAGCAAGCCGCATCCTCACAGGGTATCAAAGTTGAGGCCAGCGTCTACGCATGAACTTTTAAGGAAACGCAATAAATTCGACCTCACTACTGCACAAAAGTTACTATGATGTCTTCCTCGTGTGATCATATATCTCCCACTCAAATTTTATGCTGATAGAAGGTTAACTTTTCGCAAACGCTGAGATCGGCTAGCTACGACGGAGGCCCTAACAAGCGTCCCCTACTCCTCGCTTAGCCTTTTTGGACGATCTTTTACTGACGCCCGAGATCTGTGCCGGGAACGGTGTCTGAAATTATCTCGGCATACTCGGTCAGAGAGAAAGCAAACACATAACAAATATCATGGCCATTACCAACCGTCAAATGCGCTCTGAATTCGTTCGAGCACTTGTCTGAAGAATGTCGCACCGTGCGCCGGACGGGCATGAACCCCTACGCGGTGCGCATGGGGGTTCATGCCCGTCCGACGCACTTCCGGCGAACGGTGCGACATTCTTCACACAAGTGCTCGACTTTTGCATTCTTAAAACGGTCTGTATGCGCGAATGTGCCTATATGATTTCAGGATAACTTTATGCGCATACGCAATGTTGAATATTAGTGAAATGCAAGCGGGTGGGGACTTCACTTCGCGCAGTGCTGCGTGTCAGCACAGATAAGAGATAAGAAGTGTGTTAAAATTGAGCTTTTCAATGGCACCTCCGAGTTTTACCTCGCATAATCAGGCACATTAAGAAAAACAGTAATTGCAAAAAGAAATATTTCGTCTATGGACGCACGAAGCAAACAAACTTCCTGATCAACAACACTAATGTAAAGGCGCGAGCTCGATATATGCATAAGTTATTGTTTGCTACAGCTTGTTGATTCGTACACAAGCAAGATCCCCGAGCACCCGAGCTTCGCAGCGTCGAGACTCCCAGCACTGGCTCGTCCACATACCTCGATTGGAGCGCTAACAAGAAGGCTCAAGTACAAAAATACAACAAGCATGTGTTAAGACAAGCTATACATCTCGGGCTTGTGCTAAAGCTTCGAGGTCTGGCCATTTAGGCTAGTTTAGAGGCCACAAATGACGCTCTCGGGACCAGAAAACAATCTCTTGTCGACGTGTCGATCGAAACCGAAACCATGCCACCCTCCTCCCTGGCCAACTAGTTCCCAGAGTGCAATGCGCGCCGTGTTGCATGCAGGGCTTTATGGAAGTAGTCTACTGGGCCCAGTTGGACAACTCCAACTGGGATCAGTTGCAACTGGAAATTGTTCCATAAACCAGTTGCAACTGGGACCAATGGGTCCCATTGAAAATTTTCGCCTGGGGCACACACCACTTGCATCCGCATTATACCTCAAAGTCTCTCCCGAGTCCTGCACCATCGCTCGGCCCCCACGGAAGGTGCCCTTCAATGGCACGGTGGTGGCGCCATCCAGTGGGGGTTCATGCAACCCTTGCATGCGTTACCTAACAGACCTCGAGGCATGTAGCACTGAGGTCTACCCACTATCCTTTCAATCAAAGCCAATCAGAGCTCGGCGTCATTCCGACGTCACTGCAACCATGCAAGAAGCAGACGGCTTGCAATCGGCATAGGTTCCTGGCTCTGATGAATCGACTGGTGCCGTAAGATATAACCCAATAGGGTCACAATGCGGTGACTTGCACACTTCCAAAGTGTGTTTCTTCGTACGTGTTCGCATCAATTCGCACAGAGTGATCTAGCAGCTCAGTGCCGCGCAGCTTTATCCCAGCGAGAGGATGAACATGCTCTTACCTCTTGCAGATGATCCACCTTGAAAAAGAAAACTGGTATGACAGCTTTTGCAGGACGCTCGCCATAATCATGGTTATGACAATCTGCACGCCAAACAGAGCCTAGAAAGGAAGGTGAGGAAAGAAAAAGGTGAAACGTTAGACATTATTCGACTGCAGTTAGGCTTTGCTAAGGGGCACAAAGCTGCAAGACAGACAGGCAAGAACCTTTACACGAGTGTTCCTGTTGGGCGAACCCCGAGCACGTGAATGTGACGAAAACTGTAGGTGTGGAGCAATCCATGAAAAGGAAACAAAGTCTGTTCAAGCAAGCACGGTCGCATAAACGTGTGACAAAATGCCAGAAAAGTGGACGTTCCATAGCTACACAAGAGACAGGAAAAATCTAGAACCAGACTGCTCCCGAATGAGGAACAGCTAAAGAAAGTCGAAACCATTCGTTTTAAAGAAGGCAGGGCTCACAATCGGGCGAACTCGGCCAAGACAGAAAACATGCGAAAGCTGCACAGATAGCAACGTGAATGGACCGAAGATTGTTTGCAGGATATCCGTGGAATGTTACGCAGTTCTTGGAACCACGTGCGTCATAAAGGCTGCTTTACATATTTGCAGTCGAGTACGACTGACCGTGTCATGACCACGAAAATCACGACAACGGGGAGGCGGACCAGTCACGTCTATTACATAGCCCCGAACCACTTCCGACCTGCATCTAGAAGGAAGGTTTTGAAGTATCTGCAAGATCAAATCTACACATCATCTACCAGAAATGATTGCTTATAACACCATCAAAATTGCTTAAAGTAAACGGTGAAGATTATGAACAAAATGTACGCAGACCGGGAAGTGTTGACGGGGCTACCAGATGAACATCAGTAGGTTCTCTCGTAAGTGGTAACACCAGCCAGTCGCCTCGCAGTCAATCCCACTCAATTATATATGTGCAAACCAGCCCTTAGGGTACACTGTACAACCGGGTGACTCGCACAGGCGAGAGTATTCGGGGCAAGGTCGACAGCAACAGGACTGCTGGAACCACACAAAGCCGAGAGGACGCGTAGCCCATAGTCGGCGGCGAGTCGAAAACCCAGAAGACGCTCTGCTTCCAGCATACACTCGTTGACTGCACGTGCAAGCAAGTATCATCGAAGGTGGATAGCTCACGCTGGAGGTGGAGCATCTACCCGGTTCTCGACTCATCGCCGACTATGGTGTCTGATCACGGGTGTCCAGAGGGAGGATTTCGGAGATATCGACGACGAGACGTAACGGTGGCACACTCTTAGGCCGCGGTCACAATGACATCATTCAAAAGACTCTCTGCAGACACTGTCCGATATGCGTTTCTTCTTTGTATGACGTCACGTTGGTCATAGAAAAACTGTCTGCGAATGCGAGCGAACCATACATAAACGTACCGAACGAGCACACCTCAAAGATGCTTGAGGCGTGTGTGCAGATACTTGCGTCATCGTGCCTGCAGCGAATACTGCGTCTTTTGCATGATGCAGGAGCAGAGTGCTTCTTTATGGTTCCTTCTCATGACTGCGGGACTAGGATTCTTAAATCCAAACGATAGACTCGACGGTATGGGTGACAAGCACAGTGGAAGCTCGAAGCCATCGTGTTCGGGAAACCAACACCATTGAATTTCACAGTCGAACGTCACTCTCATTGCCGTCCACGAGGGCAGAACAACAAGAACAAACGACTACGACCCGGCTAAAACTTTATAGTTTCCATTTAAACAATTGTGGTTGCTCCCATCTAAGACAAAATTGCCACCCCTCCCCAGGAAGAGTAGCATCTGCCCCCCTCGAAAAAGTTTTGCGGATGCCTGTGTGTCTGACCCCCAAGCAACAAGCTCGATAGTGCCGCAATTAAATCTGCCAAGGGGCCCTAGACTCGTGAAAAAAAAAGTTGGAGCCAAAAGTTTGCAGAGCGTGGCGACTGGAGTTAGGCGACAAAAGCGTAGCATTATCGTCGCCAAGGACAAAAGGCACACTCCAACAACTTCAGCAACAACTTTGTGTTTGACGAGTCTAGGGTTTCGGGTTGCTCGTCGGGAGTGCCAGAGGTGCATGTAAGGGAGACGCATCTTGCAGAACGGGCACCCACTCTCGAAAGATCACCATCCAAGCAGTTTTAAGTAGACGCCATCATAGGTGGTTCAAAGAAAGGAAGAGTTCAGGGAAACATCCATAAGGTGTTTTGGATTCCTTATCGCATACCTTTGACGCACTGGACCAGACATTTTGGACGGAGACACCATACACTTCAGCAGGGTGCATTCTACAAAAGTTTGTGGCTCAGGACTGCAACACTAAAGGTCTATTCACACGATGCATCTTGTTGGCGAATCTTGTGTCGCGAAACTAGGTTTCAGGAAAGATTCCCCGTCTGAACGTGACCCAAAAGTGGCGCGTCTTCCTCGCTTCTGGAGCAATTTTTCGCTGAAACCTCACCGAGGCCTGTCAATCACCCGAAGGAGAAATGCGGACCCGCCAACGGCCGCTCGACTTTGCTATGACGTCTGACCTTCGAGGAGGAGCGAGCTTTTGGAGGAGTCTGATTTTCGGCCGATTCCGTATCCGAGCTAAAGCCGAAAGAAAATAAACAAACATGGCGAGCAGCAAGCGGAGAAGCGGAGCGTACGGGCGACAAGTCTTGGTCCTACTCGAGTACAGGTGCGTGAACGCCGCCTACAGTACGGGTTGGTGGCGCGGTGCAGATTCATCAATAGTCGTGACGAGTGCAAGCACCGGATATAAACCTAATGACTGGGAATAACTTTCTTTATTAGCGGTGCAAAAATGTCCGAAATGCTTCGAGATCACCTGCCTGTTCTTTGACTTTCCCGGGTTTGGCAGGACTAGTAAATCCAGTGAGCCGAATCTGGCGAAGTTCATTGAGCGGTATTAATAAAACAGACTGTCTCTTCACACTGTGCATACTTCATATCATTTTGATGCGAAATGCTTGGTATTCTCGGTGCAGATGACAAGGTTTGGCGAAATTCTAGTGAGTCAATACGTCACAGGTTTCGCGCCTCAAACTCCACGTGTGAACAGGCCGATTTCGCGAAATCTTGGTTTCGCTAAACTGTGGCGCGTTGAAAATATGCATCGTGTGAATAAGCCTTAAGGGTGCCCTAAAAGCAAGGGCACTCGAAGCATAGTCGAAGACGTGCCGAGGTCTGGGTGAATGCAGCTTTAAGTATGAGCAGGCTGTTTGTTGCTAGCAAGGTTGCATCCTGCAGTGTGCAGCAATGTGTGTCGGTATAGTTCTCGCTGCTTGTCGTTGGGGTTAGCAGTAGCCTTTTTGCAAGAGATCAGTGCTACATCTATAAATATGACATTCTGGATGCAACTGCTCCGCTGCAGAAGGGCTTAGATGACATGGGCCCCAGGATTGAAATATTGTCCGTGCACTGCACTATTCTGTAGGCTGCGACTGTCATATGTTCCTTACGTACAAAGGATGTGGGACCTAGAGTGTTTATGCAGGATTTTCAATATGGGGGAGAGGAGATTTTCAATATGGGGGAGGGATATAGCCCGGGCCCTCTCCCCTGTAAGGGGAGCTCGAGGGGCTATTACAGGCTTGTATACTTTGTGTAAGAAATCCTGAGGGGAGGGGGGTGGAATGGAGGGCTGGTAGCACCAGCGTATTTCACTTAATTTATTTTTAGAGTGAAAATCAAAACTCTAATAACCGCCAGTTGAGTTTTGGGACGCGGCAGGGCAAGCGCGCGTGCAGGCCTCCACAAATTTCGTCGCTACAATCAGGAGAAACAGTAACAGGATATGGAGCTATTTTGAACCGTGACTCCGCGACCCTTCATGGAACGGGCTGTTGCCTTTCTGCGGTGCCGCGGCCCTCCTGAGCAAATAAAGATTACTATTATTATTATTTCCACATGCGTGGAAGATGCTGATCTCGTCAGGTCATCAAGCCGTTGCACAGTTGTTAAACGCAAGTGAGTGAAACATTCGCGGGTCATGTCTACGAGGCAGTCCACACTTTCGGAGCTCGGGGAAACGCACATGGAGGGTCTCGCAGGGGTCACTTACCATGGTTCTCGGAGAAGAATCGTCGCCGTCGTCGCTTTCACGAGTTGCTGCACTTCCACCAAATCACGGAGCGGATAATCGCAAAAACAGACGTCCGGTGCACTGAATCGAGGATCCAATCACACACGCTGTTTAAATTCTCGTCCATGGCACCAGGAACATTTTAAAAGCAGCGACTGCAGCAGCAGACTAACTTGTTGTTTTTTTTTCTTTTTTGGCGAAGGTTTTTTTGCGAATGCGTTCTACTTCTTTCTGATGTCAAGAGTACATCACGTGGTATAAAATGACAATTTTTTAGCGTATATTTTTATTAAAAATAATTTAAAACTGAATGAGGTAGTCGTTTGAAATATAAATAACGGCGAGTGAAATCAACTTTGGTGTAATTTCATTAATATGACTCCCAAAACAAAAACAATCCACCGTACAAACCTTAACCCACCACTACACTGTCCGAAATCAAAACCTATGACGTCATAAGGTTCTTTTAGTCCCAAGAGCGCGGCCATAGCGCGGCGATAGCAGCCGACGTAATCTGCGATATCATGAAACGTGTGTAGCATAGACAGGAATAAACACTCAGCTAATTCCTCCCGTAGTTTAGTGCGTAAACAAACGCTTTGCTTCGTAGCTAAAGCCTAACCAGCAGCGGGTGTCCAAAGAGCGACCTTCCGGCGAAGCTTTCGCTGCAGGAATCGTGCAAAATGAACACCACCGGCTCCACGCGATCGCTGGTGCTGCACTCGTACAAGACGCTGCGCCGGACCATCGACCAAGTATTTCAGGGTGACACGGACACGATACGGGCCGCCAAGATCCAAGTCAGGCAGGAATTCGCTAAGAACGCTTTCGAGCCGGACTCCGCCAAGATCCAAGAGCTGCTGAAGGTCGCCGAAGAGGTGGACTTCGTGCTGCGCCGTGACGTTGTGCAAGCCGTCCGCAATGAAGAGGGTCGCTACGAACTGCAGCTGAAGCCTCATCACTTACAGGACAACGCCAGCGTAGCACACCCGACGGAGAAGCCCAAGTGAGGCTCGCAGTACCGATCAAGTTGGTAGTGCGATTTAATTGTAAATACAGAGTAAAATTAAGGAAGCTATCATAAGGTCTCAAAAGACAGGTCAACTTCTTGCCCTATAAAAATTGTGTGTGATTTCTTTCTTTAAATAAAAAATGAAAGCCCTGTAACGCCGGTTAGAGCGCAGGGGTGCTATGTTGCGCTTTTTGGACCCCCAGGAGACTAGGGAGAAGGAAGTGACGTCAACGACACAGCAAACGCAGATTGGATGTTGACAGAAGAAAACGCGATCAACACCCAATCTGCGTTTGCTGTGTCGTTGACGTCACTTCCTTCTCCCTAGTCTCCTGGGAGTCCAAAAAGCGCAACATAGCACCCCAGCTCTTGAGGAAGATGGAAGTGTACTGAGGGAGGTGCGACTCCTTGAGGTCACGTGACCTAAGGGGGCTCGCGTGACGTCAGGGGGGTCACGTGACCTCAGTGGGGTCACGTGGCCTCAGGGAGTCACGTGGCCTCAGGGGGTAACGTGACCTCAGTGTTGACCTCGGGGGTCACGTGACCTTGCGGTTACGCCGACGCCAACGCCGACGCCGCTCAAGCCGGAAACGGGCCCCTAAGAGCTGCGCTCTAAAAGTAAGTTAGAGCACAGCAACTGGACAATACCTAATTAGCTTCTGTCATTATCCTATTAATCAATCTTTATGTGCACATAGGAAGAGTGCACAGCTGACAGAAAGGTCATGAAACCTTTATACCCGAGTCCCACTAGAGCGACATACAGAAACAAAAGACAAAGACAAGCCTCAAACCAGAGTCTTTCGCGATTTGAGACGCTTTGTAGAGTAACGGAGGCTATGCTCAAACACAAGCATCATGCACGCGAGGGTATCTTTGGCAGGCTTGCAATCGCTCGTGCTTACTTCACGAGCACCGAACGACTAAACGCCTGCCAAAGGTACTGTAGCGGCAAGGTAATCCGAGCCGACGAGAAGACGACGAGATGGCCAACTAGGAAAATCAGAGGCGCGAGACAGGAGCTCGAGCAAAGCAGAACGACTCCGGATTTTGACGGTGACAGACACCCACCTATCTGTCACGCAATAAAGGATCCTACTACTAGGGATGCCGCAAACTTTTTTCGAATCGAAGTTTCGATGATCGAATCAAGCGGTTCGAAAGGATCGAAAGATTTCGATTTTTCGAATTGTCTATATCGTAAAATTCGACGGAGGTCGAATTTTCGAACTTGTTAAGCTAAGAAGTTCGACGCTTTTCGAACCGTCGAACTTATTACGCTAAAACATTCTATCTTTTTCGAACTTTCGAACTTATTGCGCTGCAAGGTTCGATGCTTGTCGAACTTTCGAACTTGACTGACCAAAAAATTCGATGAATTTCGAACTTTCAAACTTATTTATCAAGAGAATTCGAAAAGTTTTGAACTTTCGAATTCTGAAAAGTCAGAAGTTCGACGAACTTCGAACTTTTAGGGTAAAAGTTCGACGTTCGTCGAACTTCGAAAGACCGGCAGACGGTTTCATTTGATTTCAAGTAGTGGGGTACATTCGTAATTTCTTTTTCTCGAACTTTTACACGTGGTGCTGCGTTCCTTACGAAAGACAATGTCGTTTATTTCAATGTTCTGGCATGCTTAGGTTTAAAGAAATAAATCCCCGAAGGGGCGAGGAAGGACGACGGGTTTTTGACGATTGTCGTTTGTGCCAGATTTGAAGCACGCTGCAGCCGGAGCTATTTATGGTAGATATGTTATACTTTTTTAAGAATGATTTACGTATAGCCTAGGTAAGTGCCGTCTTAAGATGTGATTATTGTTATTCAACGTGAGTTTCGAAGAAATGTCCAAACATGTATCTGCATGCAATTATGACCTAAACTTAATATTTATTTTCGTCTAAGTTGTTTGAGGTATCGCATTTAAATTAACACCACAGACAGTACATATGATTGCCATCTGCAGAATACGAAATAATATATTTGTTGTTTTTTCACGTTGAGGAATAAATTAACTCATGGGAGAAGATTTCTAATAGTGTTCAAGTTCAGCACGTCATTAAAAGAAAACTTTTTTTTTTTCGCTTCACGTTCCTGGGACGTGTTTCTTTTAGCCTGTACACATTTTGGTAAAAGAAACTTGTTTCGAAGTTCTGAACCTCTGAATATGCAAGAATAGAACACTTCCGACGAATTCTTGATAGTTTTTTTTTTTTCTCTTGCTTTTTATTCCCGCATTTATTCTTTTTTTTTTTTGTTACTATCGGCACAGGTGTTTAGGTCGAAAAGACAGCTTTGAACTTCCGAACCACTAAGCATGTGACGAGCAGTGCCTTCTGACAACGAGTTTCTAACAATGACAATCTACGCAACCTTTTATGCAGTGAAGAGCGACACTAGCTATACATATGCATAAATAATTTCAGATTAAAATAAGCTCGACCACGCCCTCTTTCCCCGTATTGTTTTCTTTAACAGTCCAAAATACCTGCAAGGGGGAGAAGGAAACTGAAGCCCCTTCCCCGCGCTACCCTCTTTCCCCCCGTTTTTCCTTTTCCGACGCCACTTGTATGGTAGCACGCTCCTCGACCTCGAGTTGTGTCGGCTTTTGTGCTTTTTGCGAGGCGATTCCTCCGTCCCATAAAATAAACCTCCAGGACAATTATAAACTTCACCGGATCGGATTACTACCAGTGTGCAAGGGGTGGCGAGCTAGTTTGCCAGGTCGCTTCAAGGTTTTTCTGAGCCTCAACCTCCTGCTCGCCCCTGGCCGTTTCGAACTGGATGAGTCTCGTAAAACAGTGTGTTCGTGCAATCACTACTGCGTGATGCAGGTTAAAGACCCCCCCGGGGCTGGCGGTCACAATTCTGCACTGGCAAATATTCCAGCACATCCGGGACACTCGTCGCCTCCTTTAATTGCGTGACCAACTTCGCAGAATCTAGATATCACACCCTAACTTTTCTAAACTTGATTTTGTGAAAACCAGTGAGTCGTGAAAACGTTATTTGAAACTGAAACTGTGGAAAAACTTGAAAATCGGACTTTGAACTTTGAAAACTTGAATTAAAAAAAAATTCAAAATCTTCAAATTTTTTTTTTTTTTTTTTTTTAAATTTAGCGTTAAAAGAGAATCGAAACCTTTGAACTTTTCGAACTTTATGCAAAAAGAAATTCGAAATCTTCGAATTGTTCGAACTTCATGTCTATAAAAATTCGAAGCGTTCGAAGTTTTCGAATTTGTTTTTCAAAGAATTTCGAAATCTTCGAATTTATCGAACCTGAAGTAAAAAAATATTCGAAATATTCGAATTCGAAATTTTAGAAACCGTGAAAGCCTCGAAATTTTGGAATTCGAAACTCCGCTGTGGTCAAAAGTTGCGAATTTTTCGAAATCGAACCTCGGTCGGTACGAAAATATCAAAAGTTTTCGAAATCGAACCTCAGTTCGCTTCGCAAATATCGAAACCTTTCGAAATCGAACTTAGGGTGTTTCGCGACATCCCTACCTACAACTGGTGACCCGGTCACAGGAACTACCGTCTGCACTACGATGAGTAACGAAGAGTCAAGTGGACAACTGCCAAACCCAGCCTTCACTGCTGGTGAGCCGAACCTCGCTGCACTTGGATCGCTACCTACCTTTGGCGTTGCGTCGATGACCCTTAAGCTTCCCGAATTCTGGCCGGCAGACTCGGAATTATGGTTTATTCATATTGAAGCCCTTCTTCGAGCGAACAGGATAACAACTCAAAAGTTCAAGTACGACTATGTTGTCGCAGCCCTGCCACAAGCCACCGCAGCAATCGTTCAGGACGCCCTCTGCGCACCTCCCCAGGATGTCCCTTATGACACTCTCAAGACAGAGCTCATCCGCCGTACAACAGCTTCCAAGCAACGCAGACTACAACAACTCCTCACAAGTGAAGAGCTGGGAGACCGTAAGCCGTCCGAATTGCTACATAAAATGCAACAGCTCCTAGCAGATAAGGCGGACACATTAGACCTCTCCATTTTTAGAGAACTATTCCTACACCGCCTTCCACATCAGGTCAGAATGATTTTGTCTACGGCGAGTGATTGCACTCTTGATGCTCTTGCTAGAATGGCGGACAAAATTATGGAAGTTGGGACGCCTGCTGTGTTTGCCACACATCGGAGTTCATCTCCCACGCCTCCTTCGTATTACTCTGAAGTGGCTGCGCTGAGTGAAGCAGTTCATCGACTCTGCGCCAGGGTTGAACAACTCTCCATTGAAGTATCCGTTCTGCGACGATCAGAACGTTCCCCGTCAAGACGCCGACAGCGTTCATCATCCAACGGCCGTCGCAGTACTCGATCTCAGTCAGCCTCGCCTCCAGCTGATCAGCTCTGCTGGGATCACTGGAAATTCGGCGAGCGGGCTAACAACTGCGTGCAGCCTTGCTCTTACACAGGAAACTACAGGACCACTCACTGACGACGGCAAGTGTGGTGGATTCGCAGGCGAGCCGTCTTTTCTACGTTACCGAGAAGAAAACAAAACAGCGTTTTCTCATCGACACGGGTGCTGAAGTCCTCCAACACCCGAGGATCGCCGCAACCGGCTCGGCTTCACACCCTTAAGAGCGGTAAACGGCTCGCCAATCACAACTTATGGAGAGAAGTCCCTAACTCTCGATCTTGGTCTTCGTCGGACATTCCGGTGGATATTTCTGGTTGCTGACGTTCGGCATCCAATCATCGGAGCCGACTTCCTCCGTTTCTTCAATCTTATGGTGGACATGAGGAGCCAACAACTCCTGGATGCTGAAACGCACCTACGCGTCCAAGGTATTGCATCCAGTTCACCAGCTCTCAGTCCGACGATTCTCAATCCGATCTTCGAGCCGACATGGGCTAAGCTCTTAACAGAATTTCCATCCTTGACTACTCGTTGCACCGCAGACACTCCCATCTAACACCAGGTGACGCACACCATAACGACAGCCGGACAACCCGTGTTTGCTCGTCCACGCCGCCTCGCACCTGAGCGTCTAAAAGCTGCAAAGCAAGAGTTCGAGCATATGCTGAGCTCGGACTTGTTCGACCATCGTCCAGTAACTGGTCATCTCCTCTGCACATGGTGCCAAA